TTACTATCGATTATCAAATTGAATCGGAAGAACACAATTGATTACATAATTGATAATTTGAACTGTTAAAAAAGGTTAAATTTATTCATCCTTAGAAATATTTTAAATAGACAATGCACCAGGATATGGATATAATTCGGCGCCAACCTCTTCACCATGCATGTTCACCATTTTGTTTACCGCTGATGAGAGTGACGTCCCTTTGCAATCTCTACCCAGAGTTGTCGTTCGCTTCGCCACAACACCTCTGTCAACGTCTAAATGCCAAGATTCTTGGCAAAACTTACTTAACTATTGAATAATAAATTATAAATGTAAAACTGCTATATTCTTGTTTAACATGTTGAATAAAATTTTATTTAATATGAAAATTAGAATCAGATATCGCTTTTTTCACATGGTTGGTTGGAAACATTTTAAGTTAACTCTCTGACAACCAAAAAAAAACAAACTTTTATTTGGCTGAAAATTTGAAAACAATCTGTACAGCAGCATATTTTTGCCTTTTTATTCACTAATGCAATATTGAATTTAATTCAATTACTAAACCCACAGTAGCCTCGGTCAGTCATACCACGATTGCAAGACATTTATACTGACTGCAAATATGCAAAAACGATTTCTACAACTCTAATGCATCGTATGGCACTACAAAATTTTATCAGAAAATTTTTATCATCAACATGCACGTGTATTTGACTTTTAATCATTCCCCTACGTGACGCCATACTTTTCATGGTTGAGTAGATTTGACTAGTGATTTTAGTGCATAGTAACCAAAATACTCATCCGACCAATTTTCGTGTCTTTCGGCCACATAGTCAAAAAAATTTTCCCATATTATGTTCTTATGTGTTTCTTTTTCTGTTCAGTATATATCGCGGTTTGTATGGCGTAATCTGTCCCACGTTATGTTATACCGTATATCCGGGTTTTTTTTCGCGGTAATATATCATTTTTTAATCGAAAGCAGAAATTATTTTAATCTGATATAAAAACAAGAATTTTAAACAAAAAATTCAATCGTAAAAAATAGCTTACGCAAAATATAAACGGTTCATTACCCCTTTTCAAAATTTTAACATGGAAAAAAAATTACTTTGTATATACTGTTGAAAAATCGACATATAAAATATTGAACGCCCCCTTGTAAAAAGCAGATAAACTAGCTAAGTATTCTTTGAATACAATATTTGATAAATCAGGGGAGAATAAGGCTTGAAAAGAACCATTCGGGAATCATAAGGTCGTTTATTTGGAACGTTTTTAATTTTTTGAAAACCTCAAAATGTCTATTTTTTTATATTTATGTAAGGAAATAACATTTACTTTTATTTTGAAATATACTGCATGTAAGATCATTAAAAATAACATTCTCAAAATCTTTGTGCATGGGCGATACACGTGCTTGATATCATCTGAGAGCAAAAAAAAAAAAGATTTTTCACTCATATGAAGAGTTAACACTTGTCCGTGAAAGGCTGCAAATTTTAGATCTACATTTACTTGGCATTCAGAGACATTGAGCAGTAAAGCTTTTTTTCATGCAAATAACTACTTAGACGTAGGGGCTCGGTTATTAGAGAATCATCCAAAAACAATCTATAGGGAGTTAAAACCAACGACATTATGATCAATTCATAATGATATCTCATTTTCCTGACATATTTCTTCTTGATATCATCTCTCTACTATAATCAATTTTTGTTTTCTTTTTCATTTCTATTTTCTTGTTCTCTCACCTTCTTTTTTCTCTCTTAAGCTTAATGTCCATCATATCACAGTGGCAATTAATTGATAAGTCTTACGTTTGCTGACAAATAGAAAGATATACAAATAGACAGGCAGACAAAAGGATACTACAATGTAAAGACAAATATATACACCCTCTGATTATCGATTACAAAGACTTAAAGATAAACGTGGCGGTATTGTAGTGTACTGCATTGTAATGGTGTTATAAATAAGGAACATAATAGAACTGTTGACGTTTATCGTGATAGAAGATGATTAAAATCTTAAGGAAGGTGGCTAATTTCACAATCATCGCAGCTTTTACATGTTTATCCTTGCAATACACCGAATTATTGGAACAATTACAATATAAACCTATGTTTACGTATCTGATACAAATAAAATATATACAGCTGTGTCACTTAACTAGGTACATGTAGGGTATATAATCATAAAATTTGAAATATAGAACATGAATTAAATCATAAGAAAAAAAACTGCGTCCAAGTGAACTGTGTCTTAATATCTGAAAATTATATGCATGTATTTTTTTTTATTAATGAAATAATCTTAAACATGTAAATGCCATTTGATCTGCCTCTCATAAGAGGCGAAATCTAAATTAACGACTTACTATCTTTTTTAAGAATTTATTTATCTTTTTCTACAAAAATTTCAATATGTTTACTGTGTACCTTAACTTTGTTACAATAAAACACAATGCTTTCAAATCTGGCTTTTTAATTAATGATAAGAGGGCGTATATTGTTTGACCATACACGCTTTTCTCTCTCAGCCTGTTCTCTTTATCTCTGTTTGTCTGTTAAGTCATCTAAACGCAAGTCTTGTCAATCAATATGATATGTGAGACCTTTAGCTAAGCAGAGGATCAAAATCATCAAATATTACAGAATTACGTCGCATCGACAAGTGTTTCACTCCGTTGACTTCTTTTACGTCTTGTTATGAACAGTTTTATAAGAATAACAATTAACATGTTAATGTAAGTTTTGATGTATATTAATACACGCCATAGTCAAAGAATACAAATAAAATCATTGATTGAGAAACTGCTAATTTTGTGTACATGTATCAAAGGTAATTTTCTGCTATTTACACCCAAACCTGGGCAGCACAATGATCCTTATAGAAGTTAAAATATTATTGTAAGAAGAAAAATAAAGTCTTTTTATTAAGCTGAGCTCCACTCTGTTTTTAAAATGAAATTCTTCATAAGACAACAATATTAATAATATTTAGTAATTTTTCTTCTTATGTTTAAAAATTTTCGTTCAAAATTATTAATTTCAGTTACTTCAGAAATATCTGTCGTCTTTCATTGTTTCAAAATTTTATCTAAATGTATATTTTCAGATAAAGAAAGAAGAAACATTTAATACACCACATTTCTGACAAAATATCACTTCTGCTAGATTTAAATACAATTTCTTTTCCTCAATTAATAAAAGCAAAATAAAATATTGTATCTCATTACTCCTTAATGTATTAGACATTTCAGCAAATATGCTTTGAATATTCCATTTATTTAAGAAACAAAACAGGAACCACGCCTTCGGTAATTTACTTTTGCTCATTTTAACAACTAAAACCCCTTTTTCACACAAATAAATAAGGTTCGGAATCATCTCTATTACGATGCATGCACTTATAATATCTGAAGATACATTTATATATTTTATATTGCCCTGCCCTAGCACTAAAACCCCTGACCCTGGAGCCATGAATTTTACAATTTTGGTAGAAGACTCAATGCTCATTACATTCATGCCAACAGTTTGAGTGCTTGATGTCCAGGAGTAAGGAAGAAGATGAAAGATTGCATTAATTTTAGTGGTTTTTGGCCCCACCCCTCTGGCCCCAGGTGGCAGGGACCATGAAATTCACGATTTTTGTTCCCCTCCACCCATATATACTGTATGCCAAAATTGGTTGAGTGGTTGCAGAGAAGAAGCTGAAAATGTTCAAATGTTAAAACATCACACACCAAACACGACGCACGAAAACGGATAGCAATAGGTCACCTGAGTGACTCAGGTGACCTAAAAATCGAAGAAAATAACTCTACCGATTCTCTTAAATCAATCCAAAATGGAAACTGAAGGAAAGAAAGGACAACTAAGTCAAATAAGCTTGCAACATCCAAACAAGCAGATTGAAACACTTGGTTTAAAAACACTACCTGCAAATAAAGACAAGCAGATTGTACTTGAGATAGTTATCCATTTTCAGAATTCTGAAAGGTGGCGAAGTTTAAAGTATACTTAGAGAAGAAAAAAACTAAAATATATCTTGCAACATTGACTTCTAAAACAACAAAAACTGGGAAAATTTAAACAAGAACCAGAAATCTGGTGCATCATCCTCTTTATCTAAACCATCTTACACCAATTTCATTCATTCAGATGAATGAACTTCAACTAACGAGAAAAAGACCTTGAATCACAAATGAGTGAGTTTAAGTTATTGTGTCTGTAAGAATTTTTTATGTTCACAAAATTGCTATTATTGCATGGGCCCAATGTGATTCCGCTAGACATTAAGTTTATCTGCAACATATTCACAAATTCGTGTCGTCAGTCAAAAAAAAGCAAAACAATGCAGTAAATAAATGTCATCTACAAAATGTATAAACTGCTGTTGAAAACCTTTTTTTGTCAGTACTAATACAGTATGTTTTAATGTAATAAATATGAGCTATTTTTAGAAGAATTTCATTTATCAATATATAATTGCAAATTGAATATTTGTTTGTACATGTAGTAAAGGTACATATGATTAAAATGCAATCATCGTTGAATTAAAGAAATTATAGTCTTGGCATACTAAATTACATTATACTAATTAATGGTAGCTGACAAAAAGAGATCATTGTATCATATGAAAAGTGCGGTTACACTGACAGCTTAAAGATAAATGTACTTAAATTGAAATGCTAACAATAAAAATGTCATAATGAAAAAGTTGCATAACCAGTTGAATAAGTTGTTTACGCATGGCTCTGAAGGTTTGTAAATAATAACAGTTTAGGGAGAGCATACTTTTTTTTTCAAAATGCTTTACTTATTTCTACGTCTAAGAAATAGCTGCTACAAACGGTGAGAAGTCCAATGTTTGTTATGTACAAGTTGATCTGATTTATATGCAAACCAACTTCATCATATTGAGAAAAAATTCGCTCTGAAAAAGAGACATTTACTGAAACAAATAGTCCTTCTTATGATATCCAGCTAATATCAACAATTTCGAACTATTATGAAAACGTGTGTACTCTTTATGTTAACATTTCTATCTTCACAAATAAGTTAAGGATACAAAAAAGAAATTTTATTAAAGGCGTTCTATTTATCCAATCACAATGATGGTGGGGTTTGTCGCTGAAAAAAAAAAGAAATTAGAGATAATTATTAATTTATTAGAAATTATCATCTGTTATTAAGTGAAGAAATAATGCAAATTTGAATCATAAAAAGACTTCTATATAAGACTGAAAAAGTAATTTATCATAGTAAGCACCACACATTGAGGTTTTCCAATAGGCTGGAATGAACTGCATATGATATGAGTCTATACATTAGCTTTAATTGGATGGCTAGTTTAAATTTCATAAGTAGGTACAATTAAGCCAGCAAAAGAGAGTTATCATTTATTGAAGAAAAACTAATGAGCGTGGGAGAGTTATTCCCAGAGGTTACATACCAAAAAATTAACTTTATACCTTGTCATTTATTTTTTTTTTTTTTTGAACTTTGGAGAAAGGGTTGAGATTTGGACTTTTTGATTGCACCTTCAAATCGATGAATTTATACAAACCTTATGAATAAAATCAATATTTGGATTTTCATCAATGTCATAACAAACAACTTACATGGTTCTTCAGTAGTTGTTGTAGCGAGTGGAGCGTTAGTGGTCGGGATTGGGGGCTGGGTTACAGGGAACAAGGTAGCTGTTGTAGGGACGTTTGTTGATGGCACATCTGTGTTTGACATTAGGCAAATAAACATTTCATAAAAGTCATTTACATGTTTTAAAGACAAAGTCATCCAGGATTATAGATTACTGATTATTAGAACTGAAACACTAAATGACATAACATGAACATTTTCAATCTTAATTTAAATTGTCATTGAAATAGCACTTACTTATGACTGCAGGTGTAGTGGGAGCTAAAATAATAATTTATATTTTCTTAGTATGTACGATAAAATATAATAAATGGCTGAATATTAGGAAAAAACGGCCACCTTTGTACTTTGGCTAGGGAAGGGAAAAATCAATTTTGAAATAAAAAGAAGTATGTTTTATTGAGGTCCGTCCAACCCCCCAACCCCCCTTCCAAGTTTCCTTTGGCCATCCAAATCAATATATTTTAAGCCTACTGCAACGTTGTGGAAAGTTTGGGAGAAATAGACCCACTGGTTCACCATTAATTTAAAAAGTGTGGAAAGTTTAAGTTTCAAACATGGACAAATGCCGGATAAAATGTGTTCAGAAATAAAGCGCTTTTGGTTTTCAATTCAGTTGAGCTCAAACGGAATGCAGATTAATTAATTGTTAATTATATTGATTACGTATATTCATACATGCAGTTTGGTTTTTTTTAAAATTAATTTCGTTTCTTGAATATTTACCAGAATTTTTTTAATGTTAAGATTAAAGATGTTTAAAAAGTTTGCTGAGGGCTTACGTGTACAGAAGGCACAGAAAACCCTGCAATTTGCCTGAGCCCAAGTCTGGTTTTGGAAACAAACAACTGGTCCCCTGTCTTCACAGTCGGGATCGACATTCACACAAGGTGGTTCTGTGGTGGGAGCCGGTGTGGTGGTAGTGGTAGTTGTTGTTGTGGTGGTTTCTTAATATAAAGTATAAATAAGATAAATGCATCAAGTAATATTAAGTACAATTAATCATAACAATTAGATTCTTGTCTTATAAACATATTCAGCAGAAATGATATGCAATATAATGTTTATTTTTTAGACTGTATACAAATTTTTTGACATACTGTCTTTTGTATAATGTTGTGTTATTACGGTTTTTGTCTGTGAGTGTCCTTGGAAACTATTCATACAAAGGAGATTTAACAATTGGGGAAGTCATTGGCATGTTGCATGTAGATGTGCGAAACGGAGTTTTTAACCACATGCATGCGATGAGTGAAATACCTCACAGTGACATACTTTAAGGTAAAGATCCATACCACGTAAAATAACGTTATGTGACGTTATTCTCGTTTGTGACGTTATTACGTCAAACGCGCCCGACGCTTATTCTATCAAAATTGCCTGACGTCGATTTCACTTACCGTAAAAAAAAGGTACATTAATTTCCAAATAAATGGCATAAATATACGATGTTCAGTTATTTTCCGGGATGCATGATCGAAGAAGAGTTTAAATTTAGATGATTCGTCAAACCGAAAGTACAACAAAGATGGCATGGAAGATTCATTGTCTCGAGTACAAGATAACTAAAAGACTTCGACAATCGGGTCGTTTTTTGTCTCTGTAAGTTGAAGAAATACAGAGTAACAAATAAATGGTTCTCTTGTCGAAAGTCATTATCGTTTGCTTACATGTTTGTACATAGGCCTAGTACGTAACCATTTTCGAACCACGTACGGCTCAAGTATTCAGGTACCTAAATACTTTGCTTCAATATTCCGATTTTTAAAAGTCGTTTTTCTCTTCTCGATTGTTTGAATTAAAATATCATCCTCTGGGGATTGACTCGGGATTTTGAAAAAAAAAAATTTGGAAAACTTTTTTTACAATGTATATATCGTACATAAAACAGTTACTGCACAAATATAAATGTTCTGTTATTTGTTATTGATAAAAAAAAAAAGCAAACAGAATATTTCATTTAAGTAGAAAAGGACATTGATACATTGCCAAAAAAAAAATTCCTTAATACACACATATGCTGAAAATTTAGAAAAAATTGTTTTAAAGCTAGTGCACAATAACCTTAAAGTATATTAGGGTAGTGTATGGTGCACCTGTCATAAGACTGACAGGTGTCCTGGGTTCGATTCTCTGGAAGTTGAAAAAATGCAGAGTAACAAATAAATGGTTCTCTTGTCGAAAGTCATTATCGTTTGCTTACCGGGTATATGCTTTTACGTAGTACATAACCATTTTTGAACCTTTTGGGCCTCTTGTTATAATATGTTTGCTAAAGCCAATTTCCAAATTGATGATAAAATTACATATTTGTCATCTACGGTATATACAATATGTATAATAGATTAGAAAAACATATGTCGAACAGACCCAGGGGTCTATATCGGATGGGGAAGGGGATATTTCTGTCTTCAAGCACCCATGAATAGTATAGCGATAGATATCAGTAGCTAATAAGATAATGTGGATCCCCAGTGTACTTTTCTAGATCACAATTTTATGCATTACCGTGATTACTGTAATGATGGTTAGACTTAAACCCACAAATAGCAATATGACAGTAACAAAGAAGGAAACACATGTATAAGATGATAAATAGGAATGCCTATGAGATCATAGAGGGTGATATAAAAAGGAATAAGGAAAAGGATGAAATTTCAATCAGACAATTCACAAAATCAACTCTGTTTGTTAAGCCGAGTGCTTACAATGCTATAATTATAAAATCAGGTTGTTCGTGCATGTTTTAATCATGCATTAATCATTAAAAACAAAGATAAACAGTTTCAATTTAGATTTATGGATTTATGTCAAGATTGTTGCTTTCTATTTGAATGAAAAAATTATTAATACTGTCTCATAAAAGTTATGACAGTGTTTTGTTTTCCAAAAACAAATCAATTTTTCAACAAAATTTATTGCATAATTAACTTGACCCTTTGATCACCAAATCAATAAGGGTCTCTCTCGAGTCACTGAGAGTTGCTGTGTAAAATTTCAATGCAAAAGCTCAAAGGCTTCTTAAAAGTATTACAGACAGACAGAAAGACACACGGACAGATGCACAAACCTAAATTTAGTATCCCCACTTTCAGTGAAAGGGGAGACAATTATATCAGGGTTTTTTTTGTTGATGTTAAACTTGGTTTATCAAGATACTTGTAAGAAAAAAAGCATAACTTTCCCAGTGATTATTAAGATCTTTCTTTTCCTACATAAATAGTTTTTGATATCATATTGAGCTTTATAATTATACACCTACATATTTATCTATTTTAACATCAATATGCACTGTGCAACACAGTTCCAAAAATCCAGATAATTTATTGGACCAGCATGCAAAATTCATATCAAACCATTTTCCCCCAAATAAATGAAGAGTCCTTCCCAAACTTATGAGTTAGGAGTTTATGCTGTGTCATGTGGCATGATAAAAATTCATTCATTTTTTTCATTTGGTTAGAAAACAATTTTGAAGAAGTATAATTGAACTGCCTAAACTCTTGTACAAGTCAAATTGAACCATCTTGGATGTCCTGATTAAATCTATTTTAGGCATAGAGCAACAGAAAGAGGGGTTTTTTTTTTTAAACTACACCATGTTCATAATGCATGTACCATTTCTCAGCTAATTTTAATATACAATTATTCATACAAATTAAATATTCAGTACTTTATAATGATGTTCATCAGCTCAGACAATTACATGTTCGAGAATCTGTGTCAATACTCATGGAACAAATGCTCGCTGGATCCATATCAAAATATCACTTCAACATAGAAAATTCTATTTACTCAGGGAGCCGTTGACTTTTAAAGCATCATACCGGTGACTTTTCATACCAATTTTACAAAGATCATTTCCAAGGAGGGGTCCAAGGTCACTTTTAGTACAATTCACTGTTATCTTTTGACTGACAGTAAGATGTGGTATTCTTGATGTTATATATAATTAGCCTCTAAAATTTACACAGCTTTCATTCATTGTTTAAATATATGTGGCCATACATATATGAGAAAGAAGTAAGGGATTAAGTTGTCTCATCATTGTCAACAACTATTTGTTGTTCCGAGAATACCACGTCTTACTGAAAGTCCAAGGATGACAGAGAATTGTACTGCTTGGTTTAGTATGTACATTTAATAACTGCCATTTCCAGGGGAACACACACACTCTTTCCTAAATCCGCCATGAAAATTTCAGTCTAGAGGCATCCTATAAAAATTATACTATGGAAAACGAGAAAAAAAATTATAAGTGCTGAAAATAATTATTGTGTAAGGGTGATTTTGACAGCTTGGTCAGAGTACATCAAACAAATAATTTTTTTATTTGACTAACTTAACCCTTTTAATTATGAACTCTTTCAGATAATTCATTTTATAACCTTATTGATTTTAAAGAAACATAAACAGTAACCACATACTTATCTATAGAATAAATGTTAAATTTCTTTCTCTTTTTCAATAATTTTCTAGTCTTGATTCACATTTTCAATAATAGCACCATAATATTCATACATGTATTAAGAAGCTTGTGTCTCACATCTCACATTATATGAAAGTAAGGGTTTGTCTGAGCATGTTCACCGAGTTTAGACAGATGGGCATATAAGATTACTCAAACATGTCACCGTAGAATGTGTTCATATTTTACTAGTTAATTTTCAAAGTTTTAGTAATGATGCACTCAATGCAATTCCAGTCATCAACTAAGGAGTTTGGTGTTTAGAATTTATTAAACGAATTTGAGTTAGCCTAGGTACGGAAAACCTAGATCAGACATTACAAAGTGGAAACACTGAACATATTCATCTCTGCTTACATAGATTTTATCTATTTGTACATGGATAAAAACATGATAAACAACTTGCACCTTACTTAGACAGATCCGAGCTTTTCCTTTGATCAGAAACCAGACGTTAAAGAGATGTGGCAAACAAACCACTTATTTGTATCTATGAATAGCGAAAAATGTATTACGTAGACACAAAAAGTAGTAAAATGTGCCACTTCTCTCATTTTTTAATCAAATAAATCGCATCCAAACGACCAATGTTGAAACTGAAAGTGTTTTCTTCTTTCACTTCCGTCATAACGTCACACATGCGCATTAACGGTATATAGAATATTCCGAAGATTGAACCCGATTAATATAATGCTTGTAAATCGCGAAAACGAATAATTGGCCGTCTCTGCATTAAATATTCAACTTATAATTTAAACCATACTTATTAATTTTCTATTAACGATAGTTTTAAATATTTAAAGCGATTTTTGCACCCAAATCATAAAGGTATAGATGTTAAAAAGATTTTTCAAATAATCATTTTTCAGCAAATTTGGTATAAAAATGTGAAATTTTCTTGTTTGATGCCCGCTGCCCCACTTAATTTTTATGCCATATAAGAGAGAGACTATTGGAAAATAACGTGTTAATTTTTAAAAGAAATCTGTAGTTAGAATACCAAGCAGCAATTTATTTTTACTAACAATGAACTTCATAATTTTGAGCTAAATACAGTACCGACCAGACCCAACCTGACACCAAAGCAGTCCCAGAAAGCAGTCCCCGGGACTGCTTTGGGACCGCTCTGGGACTGCTGTGGGACTGCTCTGGGACCGCTGTGGGACTGCTCTGGGACCGCTATGGGACTGCCCTGGGACTGCTCTAAAAAGCAGACCCAGCAGTCCCAGCTGTCCCTGGGACTGCTTTCTGGGACTGCTTTGTTCACTCATGCGTGAAAGAAGTTCTGAGTGACATGATAGCTCCGCCCCTTGTGTATTCTGAATTTGCAGACTCCCAGTTGTTTACTAGCAGCAGAGATGAGTTTATTAAAAAAGCAAGGATTTCTTACAAACTTTTGATAAGAAGAGATTATTATAGTTATTAATTAATATTTTCAGAGACTGTACATGTACATTTACACAAATGTACATGTAGTAAGAATATATTTTTAAATAAAGTTATTAAGTACATGTAAGGAAGTCAGAAGTAGATTTTTATCCCTAAAAATAAATTACAGGTTTATGAGAAAAAAATATCTACATGCATGTAGGTCTATTTTATTTTTGTTTTATTGTAAAATTATGCGCACTTAAAATTTGAATTGACACTATTTAAAAATAATTATTATACAGTTAGATATAAGATTTTTAATTGAAAAGCTTCATGTTTTACGAGCACCACTCTAGAAAAGTATCCCATGCAACCCTAAAATAAAGCCTAACAATTTATTAAATGACCGTGAAATGAAATTATGCTACCATTCTTCCATAACTCAAACAATTTAAATAATCATCAGGGAATTTATTAATGAATTACCGGTAGTTTTTTTTAATTCATAAACAAGATATCAAAAGAGAACATTTATTTTATAAATAAAGAGTTGAAAATACCGGGAATTGCGATTTATTTCTTTTTTCTTTTGCTTGTGTTTACATGTACCTGGCCGATTAAAGTTTATTACATGGTATTAACACCCGCGGTTTCAATCGCCTTAGGGCAGAAAATCAGTGCATGCTATTTTGGTATACTATCAGCGTTTCACATCAATGAACATGCTGGTCAACAATGACCCTAATTTCCATCTACCGGTATAATGCAAAAATAAAATTGATTAATAAAATGTGTATGAATTTCTTTCAGGATTAATTAATTTTGAACATAATCTGATGGTTCCATTCTGGTGATTTAGAGATGTACATTCTAATATTTACAAATAAAACACTTAAAACTGAGTATTATAGAGATAGAGAAATTAACAATAAATAAATTGACATGTCAATAAAAATAATCATGACTGAAAAATAATACTTGGCAAAATTAACAACGAATTTTCTAAAATCCCGATAGTATGGAAAATGGTCATATAACGATGAGATCTATTTAAAGCTAATTCTTACTGGTGGAAAATTATTAATTCACTTTTAATTTCTGTATAAAAAACAAATAGGAAACAGTATAAATCACAGAAAATAAAGAAATTGAATTATATATTTAATACACCCAATAATTGTGATTAGATGTTCATGTTCAGTTTAATTCATACATGTACGTGTAAAACCCTTCTTCCTTCAATAAATAATCATTCAGTTTGTTTCTATGCGCGTACTGTTCATAAATGACCTTCGCATACATGTAAGGAGTCCCGGCATACTACCCAGAATCAATTTCTACTGCCTTTTATAGTTCCATTGTTTATTGCAAATCTCATTTCTGAGTTAGCTCCGCCCATTAAATTAATAAACCCCGCCCACTGGGACTGCTGGGACTGCTTTCTGGGACTGCTGGGACTGCTCTCTGGGACCGCTGGGACTGCTGGGACCGCTCTGGGACTGCTGTGGGACTGCTCTGGGACCGCTGTGGGACTGCTCTGGGACTGCATTGGGACTGCTTTAGCAGTCCCAGAAAGCAGTCCCCGGGACTGCTCTGGGACTGCTTTGTGTCAGGTTGGGTCTGGTCGGTACTGTATGTTTAATTTGCCCTAGAAAGTAATATTAGGTGGATCAGCAGATTAAAAAAAATAATTAAACCGTTAAACAACCATATTTTCTCTATAATTCATATGTTAAAAAAATTCTTTTGCTTTTACATTTAGAAACCTAGCATAAATATCTTAATTAGAGCATTTCCGTAATTTCACGAAACAATGTCTATTTTTAGTAACAATCCTTTCAAAAGGAGGCCCGGTTGACCCCAAAATTTACACTGATCTAGAAAGGACAAATACTCAGTTAAGATTCTGAAAAGTTTCAACAAAATCTGTAGTTCCGTTATTTCTATAGGATGGTATGGATCTTTACCTTAAATAACTGTAACTTTTATATTTTGATGAAATGCTCCGAAATCCATAAAATGAATATAGTAGTCTAGAAAAGATGACAGTGTCAAATTAGAATAAACTCACGCGCAAACACATGCGCTTCTTTCTGATTGACTGAAACAAAATTATCAACTTCCCTGCCTTTTTCATATTCATAAGCTTGTATGTATACTAGAATTTGATTTGAATTCCTGCATTTTGTTATATTGATATGCATTGTCATTTTCATGGTATGATTTTGCCTGATTTATGGAAAGATTGTAAAGAAAAGGGCACCAAAGAAAGTAAGGAAGTGTTCGGAGAAAAATCTGTAATTCTCTCCATTACAATGTTTTTCATATCGTCTGTTGTCATTCACTTTCTTTGTCTTTGTATATAGGTTATGCAAAACCTTCGCCAATAATGAAGCGTAACCTTCAACATAAAAGCCATAAAACTTTTTATGGTATCATAAAAGAATTGTCATAGAAATGAAAAATAACATTAATCATGTAACAGGTAGAGTGAAATGCATGAACCACCTCTACCGTTACACTGAACACAACAAAATTAAGAATAATTCTACATAATTATATAATATGTATTTATATACATATAATCTTAAATTACTAGATCTTGACAATCTTTAGAGTTAAGCGCATAACCATTAAACTATTAAAGGTAAAGCCAAGTAATGTACGTAACAAGAAACTGTACCTTCACAGAATAAACAAAATTTTGCACACTTTTTGGCTGCCCAGTCTTTGTAATTAAAGCAGATGGAGGGACCATATGACTCGCAAGAATGGACCACGTCTTCACATCTGTCGTAGTGCACTGAAAAGCAATGGTAAGAACATTGACAAGATTTCTGATTTTAAAAAGTGCATAATTTTATCTTTTAACACACGAAGAAATATTATTTTATCTTTAACACAAGAAAGTATAGTTTATCTTTAAACATATGAAAAACGTCGTTGGTTAGGTGTGACTAAACAGAGGCGGTCACCAAAGAAGGAGTGAAAACAGCATTGCACGAGAAAAGTATACAAAACGTCATATTATTGAAACACGAAAATGAACATACTTGAAAATAGCCTAAGCACTCACACAAAAACATCACACAACCCCTGCATTTTTTTGTGTGGCATTAAACTACTTAATGGTCATTGAGAAATTTTATATGTTCTTTATCTCCATTTCTTTCATCGTTTCAAATAAAGATTTTAAATGTAGATTATCTTCTTAAATCAATATAGTCTGGATATAGTATGGACCGACAACTCTTCCCACTTACATTACAAGGAAAATGTCTTTAAAAAGAAAGTTAAAACTTTTGATCTTTACAAATACCCCTGGGCAAACAAGATCCAAGCACAAAATTTGTGCTTAACATGAGTTTCAATTGTTTTTCCTTTTCAAAGCTCTGCTTAAAATCATTTAAAAACACCTTGTCACTTCTTCAAAATTTTAACATGATACGTATATTAAATGATGCATACGAATTTGTCAACACTAATGATTCATAGCACTGAAAAAGCGCAAGTTTTTGCACAACTGTAACAAAGTAAGCCAAAGATAGCACAAACTTTTTTTCAAAAATAAGCGTAATGCTGATAGAATTTTTTCTATTTGTTTTTATATTTCAAGTATTTGAAACAGTGTGTATGTGAGGGCAAACTAAATATCAAAATATAAAAAAAAAATAGTGTTTTAAGATCATTATTCTGACATAAATCTTAGAAGTCATGAATTTGTAAATAAATAATTATACATGTATTATCATCCCAATTTATTTGTATGACGTCCTAAAGTGAACTTTCATGAGACCCGCTTAGACCACTCAAGTAATATTGAATGATCAATGTAAAGGGTTAACTTTATACGTTCGTTAAATTGCAGAACATGGGCAAATAACCTTTAATATTAACCTAAATTATTATAAATCACTATATTATTCAACCTTTGAAAGATATTAGTGTATTGTTTGGATAATAAAGGAAAACATCGTCTTTAGATATTTTTAAAATTATGAACCTAACCATCTTTTCCAAAACGGATACATGTACATATAAGTTCTTTTCAATGTACATGTACTTCAATGAAGGAGGATGTTTTTTTTTATTATTTGCTTATTTATCCTGAAGAAAAATTACATCAATGAAAATTTCATTTTCAATTCAGTTTTTAATGCAACATTTCTATAGACAAAATCGTTGTTTGGTTTGTATACTAGACAGAAAACAACAAAGTTTAAGCACAATAACTTTAGGCATGTGACTCACATGTTGTTGAGGGAGCACTGGTTGATGTTGTAGTAACTGATAGTGGAGGGGGAGTGCTGAACGTATCTGCAAAACAACACATTCAACACGTGAAAGATCAACTCAATACATGTATAAAATGATGGGCAATGAAAATATGAAATGAAACGTTTTGCCTACCGTGACAAATACCACAGGTTTTTCTACAATTGAAGGTGGACCAATCCAGGTATCTATTGCAGGTATTACTGTCACGGGCAATGTAATCTTTACAGGTAGGCATTTTGTCCTCGCATGGTCCTATGAAACGATTTACAAGAGTTTTACGTTACTGAATGATGAGGAAAGTTCTGAAGCCAAAGGTTATTTATGAATATTTTGAAAGTAATTATCAAAATACGCATATCAGCTTATGAGAAAATGATAAAGTTTACCTGCAACAAGAGGCGGGGGAGTCGGCATAGCTGTAATATATTTTGAAATATTTATTTGGCAGATGAAAACTACTTTCTATAAAAATGATAAAATCCAACGAAATAATAGGTTAATAGAATTAAACAATATCATAGTGCTTGTTCAAACTATAATTATTATTTGAACTTTTTAAATATGTATGTCATGAAATGAACATTATATTTCTCTATATTTCATTACAGGTACGTTATATTTCTATGTATGTCATTTCAGTTACGTTGCAATATTTATATTTCTATGTATTTCATTACAGGTACGGTATATTTCTATGTATTTCATTTCAGGTACCTTATAATATTTATATTTCTAATATGTACTTCATTACAGGTACGTTATTTTTCTATGTACACGCGTGCCATTTCAGGTACGTTATATCTGTATGTATTTCATTACAGATACGTTATATTTCTTTGTATTTCATTAAACGTACCTTATATTTCTCACAGGTGCTTGAGGACAGGAACCCCCCCCCATATAGACCCCGGGCCTGTTCGACTTTTTTTCACATAAATTATATATGGATGACACATTTGTGATATAATCTATCCTATCAATTCAGAAAATTTGCTTAAGCTTACATTTTATGAAAATATTATCTACCCTCTTTATATATAAATTAACAAGGTTGCCAACTTCGTCTGCAAACCGAGAGGCACTGCCGAGAATTTTGGTTGAATCGTTTCATATATCTAAACAAAGCCCTAAAATCAACAACTCATATTGTAGATTGAATATTCTTTTCATTAACCACCAACTCTCATGAAGGTTAAGGAACTTTAACAGTCGTTATGACCAAGATTTCGAAAGGGTGTCAGGCTACAGTCAGCGTTTTTGCTTAGTGAACGGAAGTGACGAGGAGAAGACTTTTTACCAAAATACGCAGTTCTGCAGAAAGTCTGAGACACTGTTTTGGAGTAAACTTTTGAAGAAATTTGGTTGATATACACTTTAAAAAATGTCTTTCAAATGTATAGGGAGAATAGTTCTAAACCGCTGATGCAAATGAAATGTCTCTAATTATTTTTCAAATACCTGATTTGCATGTGAGAGTTATGCCCTTTTAGAAATGCAATTTATAAAAATATCTTCTTTTCCTTAAATATTTGTGTAAATCCACAAAACGTTTGAAAATAAAATTTGAAGAAGAATTCGTACAAAAAACAAGAATATATCTATTGTTGATATTTTACACGCATATTTGGGTATATGGGGAACATCGGGAATTAGTCCTCTCCTCATTACTTCCGTTCATTAGCTTTTTACGGAGTTGGCAACCTTGTTGATTTTTATATAGAGAATGTAGGGTAGATTTAATAGAACGTTTGTTTTAGGTAATTTTTCGATTTGCTGGTATAGATCGTATCACAAATATGGCTATGAAAAAATTTTTATGAGAAAAAAATCGAAAAAGCCCAGGGGTCTATATCGAAGGGGGGGGGGGGTCCTGTCCTCAAGCACCTGTGATATTTCTATGTATTTCATTACAGGTACGTTATATTTCTATGTATTTCATTAAAGGTACGATATATTTCTAAAGCACTAACCTGTTGTAGTCACAATTGGTGGTGGAGTAGGAGGTGCTGAAATATTTAATAACATGGAGACAATACTAAATTTGTTACAGATCTTATTTTCAATTTGAAGAAAAGTCAGAGCAGTTTGGTTCGACATATATTTTCAATATGCAAGATATCTAACAAAGAAGTAAATAATGAAAGACTTCCTTTTAATTCCAGTGTAATGATTTGAACACGTATTAATCTGCATAACTGTCAAAATTATAATTTTTAATTACCGAGAAGCTATCTTTCCCAGCACTGTGTGGCGAAAAAAATGAACCAATGTAATGCAGGCATCCAAAATTTATTTTTAAAAATATGTCAATGTTATCCATTTTTTGTTTTAAAATAAATTTACAGACTGCGTGTACACATATTACAGTCATTACTTAGTGTAATTACTCAGCGTAGATGTTTTTTATACCGTGATACTATTACATTATACATTTTCATTGTTTTTAAGAAAATATTTATTCTGTCTCTTTTTTCCTTGTGCAATATTAATGCCATTAATAAAATCAAAAATTCAAGTACTGTCAACGGACTCCGTTTCTGTTCATCAATCAATGATGTCATTAATTTGATCGATCAAAATATTTAGAATACCATTTTTATATATATTATATTTTTATATAATTATCTTTTTCTTCTTTATTTTTCATCCAAATATTTTCTTCATTAACATCAGTAAACTACCGACAATGTTCTTCAATAACAGTCATGGAATGTCATGGCCATTGACACAACTTTACTGAATAAGGGTAGATAGTCTCTTGTTTCTTCGGAAAGTATTTTTTATTCATATACATGTAAAAATGTATATTCTTTTTTCAAACAAGAGATGTCAGACTGGTAAAACATTGATGCCCCCTCCCCCAAATTATTGGAATTTTTTAAAGTCCAAGGAGCATAACTCAATAAAAACTGGCTCCATCGTAACCCAAACAGAACTTGGCCTTAGGCGATATATTTTCATGAAAAATCTGTTTAACAGATTTCATTTCAATAAGTGCAGCCTCTGCAAAGAAAATGAACGGAAAATGCAAGTAATTGGAATGTTTTAAAGTCCAAGGACCTAACTCTGTCAAAAATGGCTCGATCGTAAGCAAAAAAAGAACTTTTTTTTGTTTGTATAATTCTTTTCTTTAATTCTTTATTTATTTTACACAATCTGTTTTATCATTCATAATACAAAATTTAATATTTTTACAGATTGGTTTTTTGATAGAGAGAAAAAAGAGAGCGAGAGAGAGAGAGTTGGCATGATAATTCCTTTACATAAATACATTGTATGACTATTTCATTTTATAACATTTTATGAAATCAATTGATTCCACCGATTCCAGTTGGTGTCAAAAACCTCTCTGTCACCATTTTTATATGCTAAATATTTTTTAGTTTCATAAAAAGGTTTAATATGTGAAGTCGCAAGTCTGACATCTAATTTTTTTCTGAACATCTCATTGTATATAATTATATAATATTTTATCCATAGGGCCAGCAAGTTTTGAACATCTTTCTTTTTTACTGGAAATCCCAAAATAAAATTTTGCTTTGTAAATGAAAGTTGCAACCCTATCCTTTGCTCGCAATATTTTTCAGAACTGTTGAGGAAGGTCTGTACATTGTCACACTCCCATAAAACATGTATTATTGTCTCTACTTCCATATTGCAGAGAGATCATAAGTTATCATCGCTTTTCCAAATTTTACATAGATATGAATTTGTATCTAGTACTTTATTTAAAATTCTGAATTGAAACCATTGAAGTTTACTATTTTTTGTAATTTTAAATGGAAGGTTAGAAATCATCTTCCATTCACTTTCCTCTAAATTAAAAATATCAGTACATCTTGTTTTCCCAGTGGGTTCAATATCATTTACATTAATTATTTCATTAAACTGATTTGCTTTCTTACACTTTGAAAGAATGTGAGTGCTGGACAAAATTAACGGGTTAGGTTATTATGGAGTTATATCATTAGTGTCTGTTGCTTTCATCCATGCCTTGATAGCATGTATTATACCTGCAAATTCTAAGAAATTAAGCCTTACATTTGGATATATGTTACAAAATTCCTCATAACTATAACAGGAACCATTTTTATCTATAAGATCATTAATAAATCTATTATTCAGGTCAAACATATTTTTGTTATGAATGACTTCCCCACCAATGACAATTTTAGGATTATAAAAAGTGGTATGTCTCCTGCAACCTTACATACACTATAGTGTTTATTATTTAATTCAATCCAAGCCTCAAAGACATCATTCCAAAACTTGTTTTTAAGGTTATTCATGATATTTTTAATATATTCAATGCTGCATGTTAATATTTTTATCAAATCTATATTAGGTAAAAATTTTGTAAACCTTTATCTGACAGAATAAGCTGTCTCATCCAAAATAATTTAAGTGATGCAGTGAAAGCTCTAAGATTCATCATTTTTAGTCCGCCTTCTTCATATTATTTACTAAGACATCTTTCTTCACTCTGTGTTGTGGACCATTCCATACAATTGAGAATAATTTTTCCAGTTCCTTCTAAAGGTTTTCTGGTGGATTGGGAATAGCCATTAGTATATGATTTAGCAGCGGTAAAACAAGAGTTTTAAGAACAGTTATCTTTCCAATAACTCCACTGAATAATTATAGCCTTTCTTTGTCTTAATTTTGGTTCATAATTGAGTCTTTCAATTTCATTCAAATCAACATCACAATGAATTCCAAGTAAAGTAAATCTTGTACATCCCCACTTAAGATTATACTCATGACTTAGTATTTCTTGACTAAATCTTTTGGAACTGCATGGGATTTTGAACAATTTATATAAAAACAAGACATTTCGGATATTTCTTTAATGTTTTTATCACTTCTGTCAATGATTCTTTGCTACCATCTAAAAGGATTTAAGTGTCATCTGCTAATTGGGATATTTTCTTTTCCATGTTTTTTTTTACAGTGATTCCCTTGACTTTGTTTTATTTTTTCTTATCATTATTGCTAAAATTTCTGCTCACAAGACAAAGATAGAGGGTGATAGAGGATCGCCTTGTCTACACCCTCTCTGTATATAAAATCTTTGTGAGAAATTACCACTTTGATTAATTGTGGAATTTATATTAGTATAAAACAATTTCACCCATTTTGGTATTGAGGGACCAAAATTAAAAAAAACTGCAAGGAATTCTGAATAAAAATCCAAGAAATGTGTCAAAAGCTTTCTCGAAGTCAATCAAAAGCAAAAAGCCTGGTATATTTTCTTCTTCTGTGTACTGCATTATGTCATAAATCAAACATGTATTTTCTCCTATGTACCTATTGGAAATAAATCCGGTTTGATCGCTATTTATTAATTTGTCAAGTTTATTTTTTATTCTGTAAGCAATAATACCTGATGCAATTTTGTATACAGTATTTAGGAGTGTTATTGGCCGCCAGTTTTTGAGAACATGCCCTGGATATTCTTATGATAAATTTGTACACCAATTACCAAATTACAATTCAATATGTACAACCTCTGCAAAGAAAATGAACGGTAACTGCAAATAATTGGAAGTTTTCTGGGTCCAACGGGCATAACTCTGTCCAATTTGGCTCGATCGTTCCCAAAACAAAACTTGCCATGGCTATTCTAATGATAAATCTGTATACCAATTTTCATTTCAGTATGTACAATTTCTGCAAAGAAAATGAACGGAAACTGATGGGTGACCGACCTACTTACCGATAGACAGCTGTAAAACAATATACCTTCCCTTCTTCGAAAGGGGGGGGGGTATAATAATAGTTATTATATGATTGAATAATTTCCTTCTCTCTGATTGGCTGAGATCCAACTATGTTACAAAAATACTACGTTGTATTGACCTGCACGTGACGTTCCAGGTCAATACAAGGAATTATTGCAGGTCAATATAAGGAATTATTGACCTGTTCAATTTTTTTTATTACAATGTGTTCTTGTTGAAATTTCTTGTTAAAACTTTCAATTAAAGCAAAGAAACAGTCTTGTAGGAGTTTTCTATCATTTAATCATATAATAAAACAGTTATTGCTGTTTTTTGCGGTCAAAACGATGATTTAGCCACCTTCATGTACAATATTCACTTCGCCCTTCGGGCTCAGTGAATATTGTACTCCTCAGGTGTCTAAATCATCGTATTGACCTAGAAAAACAGCAATACATGTAATTGTACAATATCTGCTTTCTCACCCAACAAAATAATATAGATATTACTTTTTGAGCCAACAATGTATTTTCTATATGACCCTTGTCTTACATATGAGCCTAATAGTATACATTTTATGTTCAAAGAGCGGTAACCAAATATCATGATGATAAAAAATTTCCTACCTTTACAAAAGGCACAATAACGTGGGCAGTTTGTATCAGCCCATTGTCTGTAGGTTGAACAGGCGGACAAACCATAGTCATGGCAATTCGAAATTTGATCCATACAGATTCCTTTTATTTAAAAAAAAAGGTATTATCAAGTGCTATTATTGTACAACATGTATTACAATGGACTCGCGGTGCGTACGAACTATAGTCCTGTGTGGCACAATTGAAATGCTTTTTGTTTTGTTTGCGAATAGGCTAATATTCATGACGAAAAAATTAGTAACTAATATTTTGTATAATTCTTTAAGAAACTGGTGTGAAAAATTTATAAATTTAACTAGTACTGAGCGTTTATATATTGCCTCCTTTGGAATTTCAAAAAAATATGGTCTGCATTCCTTACTCATGCTATAACATAAAAATGAATACTTAAAACAACATATAATACACAGAAATGACTATGATCGCAATAAACATACCTTGAGTAATAACGGCAGGTGTGTTAACTGTAAAGGATAAATGTACTAATTACTCATTCAAAAAGGACATGTACAATCAATCAGTCATTTTAGAATTAACACAAGAATTTGAATATCATATTAAGGTAAATATTTCACACTGATAACGTGTTTGTTATTTCATAAAGAAAAAAGTGGATGCGCAAAGTAACAACTTGTTAAACTGATGTTACGCAATGGTAGCTTGATAAGAAATAGAAACATGTCGATAAATAAAAATTACCTTGTGTTGTTGTGGTTACAGGAGCCATTGGCGTTGGCGTTCCTTGAGCTGACAAAAAAAGTACGTGAAGACCATCTCTCAACAATAGATGTTTGTAAAACACTTATGCCCCCCTCCTCCAAACTGGAATATTTTCAAGTACAAGGAGCATACCTATGTCAAAATGGCGCAATCGTACCCAAAACAGAACTTGACCTAGAGATTCATCTAATAAATCTGTATAGCAAAATGAATTTTAATTCAGTATGTGCAACCTCTGCGAAGAAAATGAACGGAAACTGCAAATAATTGGAATTTTTCAAAGTCCAAGGGGCATAAATCTGTCCAACATGACGCGATCGTATCTAAATAGAACTTGACCTAGATAATCATCTGATAAATAAGTATACCAAATTTCATTTCAATATGTGCCACGGTTGTGAAGAAAATGAACGGAAACTAAGTGGACCGACAGACAGCAGCAAAACAATATGCCCCCCCCCTTCTTCGAAGGGGGCATAAAAAATTATGGTTGTCCTCTCCCGACCGACTGGCTAAAATGACTCGACTCAAAGCTTTTGTAAAACCCAGGGAAACAGCTAAAGTTTATGCAAGCCAGCATCTATATTGAAATCACTGCTACGGGTACCTACCTACATGTACCGTCTACCGACCAGAATTTCCTTAGTCGGGAGAGGGCTGATAAACATTATTTTAAAGTTGACCTAATTAAAATTTCAACACTCAGATATTAAAATCAATTCTTCCCTTGAAGAATTAATATCTTTTTCGACATTTTTTTGTCATATCCTGAATGATATTTTATGTTAGATTCGAGATGTCAATCTGTTTTAAAATTTGTTTGTTTTAAAATTTGTTTTTTTATTTATGATTATAATGAGACGATTAACTTTTTTTCGAAGTAAATGGAATAAAGTTGCTATAAAGTAATAAATATCGTTCAAAGTTAAGTTCATAAAAAAGAGGTGCATTTAAGGAGGAATGCAACATCTAAGTTTTAAATCATAGATTTTAAGACATCTCTAAGTTTCAGCACTGAAAAGCCGATATTATCTCGTAATTAGAGTTTAAAAATGTCTATAAATGAACGCATCATAATATGAATATCTAATAAAATAAGTATAGACCATGCACGACATTTAAGTTGTTTTACTAGTAAAACTATTAATTGTTTATGAAAATAAAACAATTATTTGTGAATATTTTTTCAAACGTGAAGGGGAAAATATATGCTAATCTACCCCATGTGTCTTTCTGTGCGTCTGTAATTCCGTAACTTTTCGTCGTAGTTTTTTCAACAAAACTTGCAGTTTTAGCACACCGTTTTAGCAAATCATATGGTGGGATTCATTTAATTAACGAATGTTTTTAAGTTTTGTGTGAGTTATTGGTGTGTGAATCACACAGACTTGCACGTATGCATATTTTTCATAGCGTGCTTCATGAAAAATATGCATGCATACGTGCAAGTCTGTGTGATTCACACACCAATAACTCACACAAAACTTAAAAACATTCCTTGTACTTACATTTTATATGTTCGGAAGCGACTAAAATATACTCAATATTTGAATTTCTCGCTGCCCTATATCGTTGCATTTTTACTTACGTCGCTGTAGCCTCATTGTGACGTCACGTTAACGCACGTTTCTCCGTGTATATTTCTACGCGTGACTGTATACACGAAAATGATTTTCAAATCAATTTCACAGTTGGCTTAGTAGAAAAACACAGCGAATGTAAATATTTTAGTATGAATGCTTTGTCAACTTCTTGTTAATCCGTGAATCTATCTTCACCGATATATAACATGAGAGCATATATTCATATCAGGGTATTACTAGTAAGCATTGACTCATAGACCTCGGGCTGATATGGGGGTCACTCGGGCTGATATGACATATGGTTTGGATTTTATTATGTACGAGGGTTGTCCCAAAATTCCGTAGACAAGCGTTGTTTTGTAGGAACCCTATGTCATACATTAATGAAACTTCGTATATATATTAAGCCAACACTATCTAATAATTTCATGGACAAATATGGAGTATATACACAAATTATTCCATTTTAAAAGACACATTTCATTGTCTGGTGTAGGAAGGCGGCGCAATACCCAAAAGTTGCAGTTAAATTTTGGTATGTTATGTTTAAAATCCTACGGAAAAGTAATTACTACCCCGTATCTTTTTAATGGAAATGAAAATTCTTAATATTGGGTAATTAACTATATTTCCTCAAATTTTGGTGTTTATGCTTTGATGAATATGAATTTTATAACGTTTTATATACATGGGGTTGAAATCCGAATTTGTGAAAAATGGCGGCTGCATTGGACCAGGCGGCGCACTGGACTATTATCAAGTATTTTGATTCTGAATTCACTCTTACAGAAATTTACCAGTCATAAATGTTTGGTAGATTAGGAAACTTCTTCTCATCCTTAGTATTTAAAATGACTAAAACGGTTATATGTGAATAACAGTAACTTAAATAAAAGACAGGGGTAAGAAATGGGCAAGAGTTCCATTGTGCAACTCCATTAGAGAAAACAGACGAAAAGACCGTAGAAATATAACGTTTTCAAATTATTATTATTTCATACCTGTACATGCATATACTTTGTTTACGTAATTTAATAATTGATCATACCATAGTAATTAAGATATGTTACATTTAAAACTATAACCGTTTCGTCTAATCTAAGAATTTGATTCTGGTAATTGAAATATTTTCTCCAAAAATTTGAACCGTTGACATTTGTATTTTTTGACGTTGCAGATTGCTCCGGGTGTAAGAGAACGATATCACTTTAAATGTTATTACTCGAAAAGTTTTCAAGTAACCATGAAAAAACCTCGTAATTTATCTGCCAAGAACACGCTTTTTCCACTCTGAAAATTTTATAAAGATACATTAATTTCTTTAAAAGATATGAGCTCAGTCTACGAAATTCTGGGACAACCGTCGTAATATTCTCTTTATATCGTGTTACCTTGACAGTATCCACAGTACAGCGGGCATTTATCTCGTCCCCACTGGGCGTACGTAATGCACACAGAATGACCATAGCTGTTACAGTTCGTGATGTGGTTAGAGCAATACAAACTACTATAGGATAATGCTATATAAATGTGAAAAATATATATTTCAAGACAATTACAATACGAATATTTCGATAATGTCGATATGTAATTCAGCTATGTACAAGCACGAATGCTAAAATTACCTTCGCAAGTTTTATTTCTTAGCTCATTCTGCAGTTGGTGGAGGGCATCGAATGTGGAAACATGAAACACGTGTTGTGGATCTGAGGCTATATGTAAAAGTTCTTGTTTGGATATTGAATTTCCGACTCCTATTGCAAATGTTTTAACACCGGCTTTATGGACTAAGTTTGCCGCCTGACTTGTTGCTGAAGGTGAAATGGACTGTCCGTCAGTCACTACAAACATGATGTCAGTCACAGGTGCCCGATCACCAGCAATTGGGGTGAAGCTGTGTTGAATTGCATAGGTGATTGCGTCAGCAGTGTGTGTGGAACCGGACATATATGGAATTCTATCGATGGCATTAAGAAGGTCCGTCTTAGTATGGTATCTTTTTAAGTTGAAGTTTTCACGTACTCTAGATGCAAAAGACACTACACTGATTTGTACATTGGAAGGGCCTATGTCAAACTCTTTTACAAAGTTTTTGACAAAGTTCAGTTGTTCCCTAAAATGACGCACTCCTTCGCTTCCGGAGGAATCCAACAGAAAGACAATATCAGCTGGTTTCAAGTTGCAATCTAAAAGGTAGATATATAAAATGAAAGTAATGAAAGCAGTATAAGCTTTGGCTGCTCGTGCACTACGACTATTTTAACTGAGGTCAGATAATATATTTCATGCTATTGTTGTGAATTTATCTGATCAAAACAAAGGAGTTACTTTAGCTTATACTTGATTACTCTTGGATACCTGATGCAACTTCTTTTGTTTTCAGAGTGATAGTGATTCTCAGATCTTATAATTTAGGAGATTTATAAGAGTGATAAATGTTGTTATCTTAAGCTCTTCATTCTTTGACACTGCACGTACTGGGAGAAAAACAACTTCAACGTTAAATACAGGGAGCTTTCAAGGACCCCACTTGAATACGACCAAAAACTTAATTGTAGTTCGACGATTCAGAAAAGCAATTCGAGTTTGAAGTTGACAATCTTAATGTATGATAATTATTTCCAGAATATATCTATAGAGCCAATAATATTATCTTATGTAGCCTAATGATTCACGTCTTCTCTATGAAAGCTACGTCATTATTGTACTTAAGGAATGACTCTAATTCTTGGCCAGATTATCGAGTATAATATGGTTTGGGTCAGTTTACGCTTTATAATCCGCGAAGCGGATTATAAAAAAGCGTAAATCAAACCATATTATACTCGATAATCTGGCCAAGAATTAGAGTCATTCCTTATAATTTAATTTTAAAATAATTAAACAACTGGGGATGTAAAATTGTGTTGTTTTTATTAGTTCAAATTTACCGCGCAATAATACAACCGTAGTAACGGAAGTGATGGGAAGCAAGGGGAGGTAAAAACTGATACATAGATCTAGCAGCCATGATGCTTGTTTACATGAGGTAAGATCGAGCAACTGTTTGAAGTTAAAGGTACATTCATTAAATCTGGAATTTTTCATGAATCCGAAGGACTGGAAATGAGGGGATTGATGGATACAGATGATTCAGCTGGTTGTCAAGGGGGTGTGTCCCCATACCAAACCAGATTATACAAAATGTTATGCGTTCCTTTTTGGAAATCAACCAATGAGAGACAAGAATACAAACAGAATTAAATTATTTTGAAATACGACGAAAACTAAAGGTTCTTTAAATTGCTTTTGTAGTCAACTTACGGAGGAGAGGATTGACTGTACCCACTGGGTTGGTAAGAATGCTGTTAATTGAATCCGTTAAGAATCCATTTGCCTGAAAACAAAGGAAACCGAGAATCAAGAAATAAATCATTTTTATGCCTTCTACCTCGTCCCCATTCACTGGTTTCGTAACACCAGATAAGACCTGATAGATCTGAATTGCTAAATTATTCAATCCCAAAGAAAGGTCAATCCTACGATATAGAATGTAATAAGTGTGTCATTATTGTTTTTATCTTAAAATTATTACAGCTATATTAACGTAAAAAATTCCAAAAGTGAATGGCATTTTGACAAAAAATCGTAACGTGTTATTTACGCTTATCATCAGATGCGGATCGTTGATGTTTTGCATTTTAAAAGCATAATGAACATTGGATTGTTTTATTTTTTGCATGTATGAATTGATGCCCAACAACGACGAACGCTGATTCCGGATTATATAATATCGATAAAAATAACCATCTGCGTCCGTGTCCTAGTTTGATCCAGATTTAGATAATTTTTTATATTTACTTCCTCATAGAAACTCAGAGATACTTTGTTTGCTTTTTAACCAACCAAGTACTAAGAACTGAACCAATAGGCAAAACAGCTATGAATTTACTTATACAATTACCTGAGTAGAAAATAAGTACATGCTTGATAACTGTAAAATGTTCGTTGATATGTAAAGGCGACTTTATTGCACGTAGGAATGCAATGAAATATATGTAGATAATGAATCTCAAAAGTAAAAAAACAAAACAAAAAAAAAACAAAAAACAAAACAATACAAAATAGGAGTAGAGCCAAAACATTAGATTATAAACATGAAATGTATCGCAAATGATGCTGACAAAAATTCAGCCTTTTTGTGTTAATTTTTATCATTCCCTCGTTTAATTTTACTTTGATTAAAATAGCAGATCACATAAGAAACTAATAAATTTATCACTTCCATTACGCACACAAGGGCAAACTCACTATCAAACACAAAAGCGTTATTCTATCCCCTTCCTGCATCTCCATTGCAAAAGTATTCATTTATAGACTGATGGTGTGATAAAAGAACAGCCACATGGCTAAAATGATCACCTAGGCAAATAACCCCAAACAAGCTAATTCAGAGAATTTGTGTCCCCCGCTTAGAGAAAAAGTAAACCATGCGCAATTCGGGGGTCGGGGGTGGGTTCGGATCCCCTTGAATGAATTTGTGGAATTATTAAATGTATATTGAAGCAAATAAAGTATGCCAATATGGATATAAAGGTTTGACTGATTATTCTTTATTATGTGTGTAGAAGATTCTTTTTATATGGAATGTTTATCACACTGTAATGATGATTTTATGAGTTTGTACAAGCCAGACCTCATAAATTTTTCATTTCACATACTGAATAGTATCATTTAGTAAAACAAAAGTATTTCGAAAAAAAAAAAAGGGATTTTCTAGGATGCGAACCCTGTCCCTTTCACATGTGAAGCGAGAGACGTACCACTGGACCACGGAGCCGCTTTAACATGGCGAAAATTATTATCGTTTTACTAACAGCGTGATAGTTTGCTTGATAGGGCGTGCTAAAATTTTGTATGCTGATTATCATTTTACTCATCGATTGGATGTTTGATTTCAATGGAATCAATAATACTTTGCATATGAAACACAGAACCCAGCAATACCACTGACAATACTGACCAATCGCACTGAATAAACAACAATAACATGTGGACGGACAAAGCACTTTTTACCTCCGATAATGATGATATTGATAGAGCAAGGTACATATATAGTACAACATAAGTAGCCTTACTAATTCCATTCTTTATATTTTCTTATACGTATTTAAAACCTATCCGGTCAAATCACAACTAATATAATACATGCTTTTTTGAGGACAGAAAACGGGTTTTGACTGACCACATGTTGCTGCTGACTACAAATACCGTACTGGGAAACGAACGTTCAATGTGATTGGCCAGTATTATCAGGGTATTGTTATAATCCGAGTTTCATATGCAAATTTGTATTGATTTCATTGATCCAATCGATGAGTAAAATGATAACCAGCACACAAAATTTTAGCACGCAAAGCAAACTGTCACGCTGTTTGTAAAATGATAATATATACAAACATTAAGTCACATACATGTATATATTCACGTTCGATATATTATCAAAATTTTACACAATGCATGGTGTTTAATTTAACCTTTATTAAACAGTTCTAATAGATGTAATAAAATATAAAGCAGAACCTGTTTTATACGTAATAACTCTCCTTCATGTCCCTGTGCTAAAAATAGCGACATGTAATACAATAAATACTAATAAAACAAACGGGGCGAGACACTTTGAGAGGGGTGAGAGAGGTCCTAGGGACTTTGGTATAAATTTACTTTGCAAAAGCTCAAAATCCTCTTGAAATATCGCCCGAAAACGATAGTGTTACACACAAGCAGAATGTATACATTTATGACCCTGAAGTTTAACCTTTTGACTTCAAAATCGATAGGGGTCTTCCTTAAGCCACAGGGAGTTTTTATGTAAAATTTCATTGCAAAAGCTCAAAGGGTTCTCGAGATATCGTGTGGAAACGATAATGTTATAACAGAGAATTTGCGAATTTATGACCTTGACCTTTGATCTTTTGACCCCAAAATCGATAGGGGTCTTTTTTAGTCCATAGGGAGTTGCTATGCAAAATCTAATTGCAATAGCTCAAAGGTTCTCGAGATATCGTGTGGAAACGAAAGCGTTACAGACAGACAGAAAGACGGACGGACGGACAGACCCAAATTAATATCCCCCACTTTTCAAGCGGGGGACAAAAATTAGAAGTCTCATATTATGAGCCCACTCTACTTTTAAAGGATTCTGAACCCATTCACGAGTATTTTAGAATCAATATATGACTAACATCGCCTAGCAGATAGATGTATGTGGATAAGAAAATTCTTATCCTGGAATATATGAGTTATGAAAAATTTGATAAACAATTAAGCCAACTTCTCCAGTAAAGGTCTTAAACTAGAGGTACTGTGAGCAATGAGCTCACTAAATGATACCCCCCGCCTCCCATAATGTCGATGTGTTGCTTTATATTGTTTTACGGTAATGTGTAAAGAGGAATAACTCGTCCCGTCAAATGTTATCCAGAAGCTTCTATTATGTGACGTATAGGTAAACAAAAAATTGCAATGTCCATGTTTTGCTCTGGGAAACCTAAAATACGTTCGAATAAAAAAGTAAAATAGGAGGTGCATAATGGCAATATGTAATAAAGATTCTGTGAAAGTTTCATTAAATTTCACTCAGTAGTATAAGAGGAGTTGCGGATAAGAGAAAAGCGTAACAGACGGACGGACGGACGTACAGACGGACGGACGGACGGAAATCCCGATCACTATATACCCTCCCGCTTTTCAAGCGGGGGGTATAATAAACGTTCCCGAAACTCCAATGGGTCACCACCCCCCCCCCCCTCGTTTCTTTATCTATGTGTCTATATAATACACTTCACAAAACAATCATAACTTTATCACTCTCCAGCCTCTAAAAAAATAAAAATTAAATAAAATTAAAGAATTCAGCAAAATAAATCACTTGATCAGGGATCCTCCTGTCTGTTTTTAAAAATTGCTACGGCGCTAGCTCACCTATCTTTTTAACAAGATAAAAATTCCAAAATATACTTCTCAAAGAATCCCTGATATAACAAATTTCACGAGTGACATACTTTAAATATATATGGAAATATATGAAACAAAATAAGATCTCGTTGCGACCAACGAGAAGGTCTTCCGTACGCTTTTCGATAACATACGATGACACCCTAGGAAACTTTGTGGGAAGTCTGGTTGAAATTGACCCAGTGTTCCTCGAGAAGAAGATGAAAATGTGAAAAGTTTACGACGACGATGATCACAACAAAGACAGACAGCGGACAAATTTTGATCAGAAAAGCTCACTTGAGCCTTCGGCTCAGGTGAGCTAAAAAAAGGGAGAAAAAATATGCACACTTTAAAAATGTTTGAAAATTTATTATTCTTTAATAAGGTTTTTAAGACAACTTTAAAATGATAAATCTAAGGTAATTCTATGCAAATCGTTTACAATGTATTTCCTTTATTGACCTGGAGGCCTGGAGTTGAACAATGATCTCCACTATCTCAAGAGGCCCTCACATGTTTAATCTATTTAAAGCCTATTTGGTTTTAATAAGAAAATGTTTTAATTCTATATATTTAACTGTACACATTTTATCCCTTCTAGAAGCCCCATCATAACCCCGAAATTTTTTTTGAACAATTTACAATCTTCACTTCAAAGGTTGATCAAAAAGTTCTCGAATGATCTCAATGATAAATTATTTACAAACCACAATTAAAAGTAATTCAAACTTTTTGATCACATATTTTTCTTTGCCGACCACAGCTAAAACATGGGTTTTCATTTGTTATCATTTTTTCTCATTTTAGTAGTTTTTTAAAAGATTTTTTAAAATATTTGAAAAAGTTCTCGAATGATCTCAATGATAAATTATTTACAAAACCACAATTAAAAGTAATTCAAACTTTCTGATCACTCTTCGTTTCTTAAGCTATGTAGAGGTTTTCATTTGTTTTTTCTTTTCTTTTTAAATAGTTCTTGAGAAGAATTTTTTAAATATTTGAATATAAATTAAAATATATGAAACTAGATTAGATCTTGTTGCATATATCAATCCACAACATGCTTGAAATTTTTTGGGTCTCTTCTGGTCTACTCTAAAGGTTCTTGAGAAAAAAAATCACATATTTTATAAACTAATACAATTGTATGGAAAAGAAATCATACTGATTTTATTCTGAACATCCTTTTTGTTCAATATCGCTTATCAAAATGTTTTCCTTTTTTGAGATACAAAAGGTCAAATATTTAGCAGTCTGTCCCTTAGTGATGACATCTATTTATGTAATACAGTGTATATAGAGTGTATATATAATTGCAAATCGTAAAGATGAATTTTTTTTTTGGTTCAGTAGTTAATAACAAAATTATGACTGTTACAGACTTATGGATGACTTTTGGTCCCTCTGATCCCCTTATTTGAGGGGTCAATCCCCTTTTCTTTAAACCAAATGAAAGGTCAGTGATTATGAAGATTTTTGTCAGATAACCAATCAGAAGTGGGGCAGAGTTATTTAGGGGTCAGTGCCTCAAGTCCTTCATGGGACCGTTTTGCCCAAATTGAAAAATTGAATATTGTTGAGAGCATTATGCTGAACATCTGTTCTTCAATATAGTTTATCAAAATGTTTATAAAGCTTCAAAGATTTAACATTTTGGCCCCTTTCGTAACCTTATCACGTTATCTACTCCAGTTTTAATGTATTTGGAAACGGAAGGCCTTTACAAGAGACGTTTGCGAAAAACATGCCCCCTAACCACCCTCTGGACATACATGCAAAGAGAATTAACGGAAACTACAATGAATTGGAAGTAAAAAAAATTGTTCCATTGTACTCAAAACAAAACATGGTCAGGATACATGTATATTCTTGCGATTAAACTGCATATCAAATTTCCAAGGTATCAAATATAAAAAATCCAAGGAGCATAATTGTCAAAAATTGTTAGAGCGTACCTCAGACAGAACTTGACCTTGTAATGATAAACGGATAAATTTGTAAACCAAATTTAATATCAGTATGTGCAACCTCAGCAAAGAAAACAAACTAAACCTGCAAATCATTTGATTTTTTCTAAATCCAAGGGTCTAAACTTGCTCAATCGTATATCCAAAGCAGAACCAGACCAAGATATTCTCGATACGTCTGTATAATAAATTTCATATCAGGATGTGCTACTTCTGCAAAGAAAATGAACAGAATATGCCTTCCTTTCTCTGAAAGGGGGAGGGGGCATACAAATATTTAAAGCAACAAACATATGCAATAGGGCAAAAGAATCTCAGGGACGTAGCAACGGGGGGGGGGGTCCCAACATTACCTTTACTTTTGAAAATGTCCATTGAAAGAATGGTTGGCCCCCCACTTCTTACCACAGTATAGTGATGTCAAGGAAATGTAGTATTTTATGCCAAAAAAAATTGGAAGTGAAAGTTGACCTTGAAAAAAGTTGGCCACAGGTAAATAATTTTTTTTTTCTCTGGTTGGCCCCCCACTTTCAAAAACGATGCTACGTGCCTGGTATCTCAAAGAGACATCGTGGCGCACAAAGGTGAACATTGACAAACGTAGAATTTCTTGCTTTACCGTGCATTTTAGTTGCTATATTTTCGCTAATGGTTAATGGTAATCTAACAACCGAGGTCTTTGATAAACGTGATCACTTTAACTTTTACAATCGTCAGCTTCCCTTACTTATGCAGCAATATACCTTCATCACCTGCATACGGAATTTACATATCTCAGTTGATTAGATACGCAAGATCATGCTCTACGTATGAACAATATCTACAACGAGGTAAATTATTGACAAAAAAGTTGATGAAACAAGAATTTCAGCAGGTTCGTTTAAATCAAAATTTCGTACGTTCTGTGGTGGACCTTGTCAGCAAATAGAATTTTGTTATCATATATTGAGTCAAATGCTGACTGACGTTTTTAATAGCTCTACTGGTCAGAGACCAGAAGAGCTTTTGCAATAGTAATGCGTCCGTCGTCCGTCCGTCTGTCTGTAAACAATTTTTCAAAATGCCACTCCTCCTACAGTTTTGGTCTGATTTCAGTATAACTTGGCATACAAGTAGACTACACTAAGATACATAATTCTGTGCATCGGTTTTTGATTTTGATGAACGGTGTTCCAGTGGTTACTAAAAATAGAAATTTCTGTGAAATTCTTTCAAAATGCTACTCCTCCTACAGTTTTGGTCTGATTTCAATATAACTTGGCACACAAGTAGACTACACTAAGAAACATAATTCTGTGCATCGGTTTTAGAAATTTCTATGAAATTCTTTCCAAATGCTAATCAACTTATAGTTTTGGTCCGATTCAATATAACTTGGCACACAAGTAGACTTTACTAAGATACATAATTCTGTGCATCGGTTTTTATTTTGATGAGTGGCAAGGATCATTTTTCTATTCATTGCTGTTTTAAATTTTCAAGTCCCAACTGCTACTTCCTCTTCCTTTGTTTTAAGTATAAACCAGTAGAGCTACAGTCTCGACAGAGACTTCTGGTTTATATATGTACGCATTGAATTGACGACGGATTTTTCCGTTATTTCCCGTTCATGACGAGGAGGAAACCACGGGTGTGACCGGTCGGCATGGAGATGCTCACTCCTCCATGGTACCTGATCCCACCTATGATATTTTGGAGGTCTGTTTTTTGCTCTGCTTCTATTGTGTATTGTTTTATGGACTTCTGATCTGGAATACTGTTCGTTATTTCCATATGTTTCACTATACTCGTAATTTTTTATAAATCTTTCGCTGTATGATGCAGTCTGCATATCTTTAAAGAAACACATGATTTATGACTCGTTATGTAACTTAAAATATATATTTTTATATAAGTGAAAATTCTCAAAGGAGAATTTAAATTTTTATTAATGTTATCCATCTCAAAAAACAACAACAATCAAATAATTAACACGTCAAATTAAAATCAAACTCTATACTTGTAGGTTTCAATTAAACTGACGCATATAACTTAAGATGTATCACACAATGCCCCATACGAGCCACCGTAGAAAACCATCAACTGAGTGCGAGTTGTGTAGATGTGGATAATGGAGAATAGTGGAGTAGACTATATTTTACCATTTTGATCGCTGCCCCTCGCTGTGCAAATCGATTGATATTTTTGAAACTGGGGGCAGTGGACAAGTGTTCGCGGAATATATGTTCATATAATCATGATAATGTGAATGCCTTTGTCTGCTCCTGAGGTCAAATTGAATCATGTAGCAAAGTGGCAATGGAAAGAGTTAATGCCAAAGGATGAGCTCAAATGAAAAGTGAGTAAAAGAAAATACAGCTTTTTTTCATAATGCATTTTTCGAATTAATTAATAATACTCTTTGATGCCCTCTTTGACTTCGTCAGCAGTTTTATGTTACAGTGGATGATGCATACAAGTTCAGCATTCAAGAAGATCATTGATAAATTGCACATTACACATGATGCATTACTCATAGATTAACGGATACATTTTAGCATTCGATTTGTTTTTTTTTCTTTCAGATACTAGACATTTTCGACTTTAGGGCTATAGTTTTGAATCTCGCATAGTATGTATCCATGTAAATTGCTCATGGAAGCTATAAATAACAGCTCTGCATTCATAATAAAACTAAATGCACTTTGACATTTATGTTACAAAATGTTTTGCTGATAAGTGCAAAGTCTTTGTAGTAAGATGCCGTATAATCGATATTGAGACAGGAAAAGGAAATAGATGTGATCATCAGCTGCATGATTATGATGTAACTAAAGTACTTAAAGCATTATAGTATTATTTAATGTTAACTTTCAATATTAAAGTTGAATTCATAAAATTCACAAAAGGGGCTTGGACGCAGACTTGAAGTTATCGATAATATCTTTCAAAATTTTCAGTTTAACACATGACTTATAAAATAGAAGCCAATAGATACTTCTTTTATCTGGAAATTATTTCATCAACGAATTTCAGTTTCACTTTTATCCTTTTTCTTTATTGAAGTTCACTTAATCTTTAAACAAAATTAGGGAAAAATGGTGTGTTAATGAAAAATTTTATACATGTTAAAACTATAAGCTGTGTCCCGTTTACAAAAACATACATGTTTGAAGTGATGTAGAAAAGAATGAGGTTTTCAATGACTTTGATGAATATTTGTGTGTGTGTGTGTTAATAACAACATAGCTTAATCAGTCATAGTTGTATACATTTAAATAATGTACTAGTATTCAATGTGGCTAAGTAATTCGAGTGTGCATTGTTGTTGTTGATTTTAACCAGATAAATGTGAACCATTTTAGCTTCCGCTTATTAAGTACGTACATTTTCAAAACACTTCATATTTTTAAAACGAAGTTTACTCATAATGTTAAGTAGTAAAATAAACAGGATCTCTTCAGAAAAGCAACCAAAAAGAATTGCCCTGCAAAGTGCATAGCTATTTCAGGCAGCACACACACACTTTTGTCAAAACAAAAGGCGAATGGCTTTATGTAAAAGGCAGTATCACACACAAAATTCTCCGCCACTGCCACTGGTTTCCCAATTATTTTATGAGTTCAACATCATATTTGATAATCCTGTACACTATTACAAGGCACGTTTTATTATTGTTTGGACAGGTCACCTCAATAAAAAAGAAATTGTATCAGGGAGGGGAATAGGATCCCCCACTTTTGAAACACACTTTAATATTAAAAATGTTCAGTAAAAGGCTGCCTTGTAAATACCCCCCCCAACCCCCCACCCAATTTTTTGTTGTAGGATAGGTAAATCATTGGATCAGCTGTCATGATTGTGTAATGTTCCCTTATCGACTGCTTACTTTCGTTGAGTGTAATTATCGGTTGACATTTTGACAATGGAATTTCTAATGTTCAATAATGGCCGAACAATTTGATTGTATAAAAAATATCAGTCAGTATTTAATTTTCTCACAGGATCCTTCTGTTAACTTTAGAATTTGTAAACTATGGACTGTTGGTAAATTTGTTTAATCAGCTTGTTTATATTATAAAACAAAACGTCATGAAATTGACTCTGTCTTTCTTTGAACCCCTTTTCTTACCAAAGAAAATATTTTATAGAAGAAAAGAAGAAATCAGATATAGAAGTCAAACATTTGGACTACCTTGAAAATCATTAAAAAAACAAAATACTAGTAATTTTTTTTTATTAAGATTTTCATTTTTCCCACTTCGAGCCCGATATTTATTATGTAAATTTGTAAAGGATTTGCTTGCATACGACTGTTTGGTTTCTCAAATTGTGAGATCCCAGCTGAAGGCATATTAAAAAAAAACGGGTCTTGCGTCCATAGCTTTTTTTATCCTGAAGAAATATTTTGATTATGCACAAAATGCATGATGCCTTCGCTGTTCAAGAAATATCAGCATGCCAATCCATGTTTTATAGTAGGTCGTAAAAAGTAATATTGATCCACAGTGCTGAGGGGGAAAACAAGCGGCTTGGCGGCTCGTGCTATTTTGGGGAAGATTGTGTAAAATTATTCATCATGTCTTCTTTGTTTCCAAGCCTCTATTTGTTCTCATTTAAGGTTTGATGGATTCCATTTTAGGAGTGGATGTGGGTCAACTACACATATCTGATAATTATACCATTTTCATCACGCACAGACACAACCAAAGAGAAAAAACAGCAGAATCATACAGTTATACCGAAAAACACACGACGTACAGTATGCTGTTAAACCAAGTAAAATGAAATGATATCATGATCGCATGAACGTCATTAGAATTTTCCGTAAAGGAAACTTAAATATTGGCAAGGACAGAGGAAACTAATATGTTTAAAACATAAATAATTGCAAATATAACACTTTCTGTCTTTCAATTTCATGTATACGAATTTGGATGTAGAAAAAACGGATCATTATTTTCAGTTTCATTTTCTTGGGCTTTGTGAAGCCTACATTGTAATTTTTACTAGAATTCGGAAATGTCTGTAATCTAATTCTTTTTCGAGAATTTTCCACTAAGGCCATCCTTTAAAAATATTTTTTGTGGTAACACGACCGACTCACGAAAATCCGCCCGACTCAATTTTTTATCACTATTCTAGGCATGTAATTTTTTTTTTTACAGATGTTATCTACTGTCCGTTTTTATCCGACCATGTTTTTCTCTTCTTATTCTCAATTATACAGACGATTGTTTACATGTACAACTAATGAGAAAAGAATTTTGATAATCATGGTCAACACGGTTAAAAATGGCGTCGACAAGGCCGCGGGAATCACAAAGAATGATCACACTTTGTCATAGACATGCGTGTTTACTATCAAACTAGAGGGATGGGGTGTAATAGTAACTATATATAAAGGCTTAAATCTTTGTCAGGTTTTTACATACTTCGTTTCGCGAATTCATAGAATCTTTCTTTATTTCATTTTAATTTATTTTTTTAAAATTTCAATAAATTGACAAATATTGAAACCCTTGTAAGCAATAAATAAACATTTTTTAAAAATCTGTTATAATTATGTGCTGCATATGTACATGTACTTTATTTAGAAAATTAAAAATTACAAAATTTAACAACATTTAAAATGTTTTTTTAAATGTCATGTAGTGAATGGGAGAAAAAGAAAGAATGTGAGAAAGAGTAGAAAAAAACAAAATAAAATATTACATACAAGTCTGTGATCTGATCTTTAGATCCAAATTAAAAGCAAACAAGGCTCGAAGTTAAGGTGGACCACTGATTGCAAAGATAGGCCATGCTATGCACTTAAACCATTAAAAAGACATGTGCTTTTACTTAAAAACCGCCAATAAAATTCCCTTTAGTTACATTACTTGCAGTATGCAGCAATTACATGTATATACATATACAAACCAATGATACAGTAAGAGGATGAGATTCTTTTAAGGTGGGATTCTTCTCATATTTCTTGTATTTAAAAATGAAATTTTTAGAAAACCAAGAAGACAATATCTCTAAGTGATGGTATCAGTCAAATTAAATTTGACCTTTTTATATTAAAGACAAGGTCAGGTCAAGGTCATTACTTTTTTCTGGACACTAATAATAAAAAATATTATTGTTGCCAATTACATGTGTGCGATCCCTACTTGTATTTTAAAAGATTGAATGTTTTTGCTTTTGATTAAATATACTACCATAAAGGGCCTATAAGAATATATTACTATATGGATATAAATAATTTCACTAAAATGGATATTGGCTGATCCGAATTTTCTCTACTTTTCTCTAATTTATACGATATATTAGTTACTAGTATTTTTATATGCTTCGTATATTTAAATTTTTCTCTTTTTCACTCTATCTTAAAGATGTCACATAAAGAAACAAAATGATACAAAAACAAAAAGTTTTGATCGTTTACTATGGGAGAAAAATACTTTTTTAAAACTGATTTTTGCCTCAAATCTGTACTCAGATTGGAAAATCATAAAACTAACATAGTTCTAGCTTGTATGAAAATCATATTTATTTGATATATTTTGGAACTTTATAGTCCCTTATTACTATTAAGTATTATTAGTATTAATTAAACTTACATTTGAAAAGTTCTTCATTTCTTTGATTGTGTAAAAATTTTAACGAAATTCATTGTTCTATAATAATTTTGAGAAGCAGAAATGAAGATATTTTTATACGCCACCATTGCGCTAAAAATATAGTCCCTGCCAGTTTTCAAACGCAGATTACCAAAACTAATTAAAGTTGTACAATTGTGATGAGGAAAGAAAAATATGGTCTTGAATCTCTTTCACCATCGTCGGAAACACACGGGTGATCTCGTCTATACTTATCAGTTGTCACCCGTGGGCAAACTCGCCGAAAAATCGTCGTATGTAATTAAATATGCATGGGTCATTTTTGGCCGCATATGCGATGCGAAACAACGAATCACAGTTCACGTTACGTATGCATGTTCGGCATTGCAAAACATGAAAAACTCATTCCGTAGTTAACACAGCTGATAAATCCAGTCACCGGTGCATTTTGCAGTTAGAAAGAGGTACTCCTGTGTAATATCTGACGGATATTAATTTCAGTGACTGTACAAATTGAATTTCATTGTTTAAATCAAACTTCGCACATTTAACGAGCGTCAAAATATTTACCATAAATAGCAAAGTAATAAACGTATTTTTCAAAATTGAAGAGTTCCAACTTTCTGATTGGTTGACTAAGAACAACAAATTAGCATATTTTACGGCGATATTTCTATGCCCACGGGTGATAAGTATGAAATCATCGATGCTATTTCACCTCAATACAGTATATACGACATTATAAGCAAATGTACTTTGATTATTTTATCTAGTCAGAAACCAGAGAAGAATCCTTCCTTAAGATTAAGAAATCTGGATGATCGGATGCTTGTGTTTAACAACATTATTTTTTATATTTCTTTTTTTTCTAAATTACCTACGTTCCTACTCACACCTAAAATGGTGAGTAGCGTTACCACAAAAAAAATTTTTTTAGCTCTACTGTCCGTCGTCAGTCCGTCCATCTGTAAACAATTTTACAAAATGCTACTCCTCCTACAGTTTTGGACTGATTTCAGTAAAACCTGGCACACAAGTATACTACAATAAGAAACATGATTTAGTACATCGGTTTTTGATTTCGATGAACGGCGATGCCATGGTTACTTAACATAGAAATTTCTGTGAAATTCGTTTAAACGCTACTGCTCCTATAGTTTTTCAATTGCAGCCCGGAGGACCGGGCTGCAAAACTATACATAAAGTTTAAGTGTTGGTGTATGGGAATTTGGGTGGGAGTAGTTATTTAAAATTAAAGGTTTTCTAAACATTGAAAAGATTGTTAATCAGAATGTTCTTTCCATTTATAAATTACGAGATACATAATATATATACTTCCGTAAAGTGAATCCGTAAAAATATATATGTTTTTCATATTTAATATATAAAATTGCTTATCATTTACTATCGAAAAAACGACGGGTCCCCTTTTTTAGAATATCGAATTTTACTTCTCGGATAAAAACGTACTCTGCACAGTTCGTGTTTCATATTCTAAAACTGAAAATTAATACATTTTTAAATATAGGTGATGCGTGTGTCTAACTTCAATTTATATTTTATGCAGCCAACATTTACTTGAGGAATTGATCAAGTTTTAAGTGGTATCGTTTTTGATTGATTTTTATCCGACTACAAGTTTTCAAAATATTCGCAACTATCGTCTCCATTAATTAGACGCATGCCTTTTCACACATATCGAAGCGGTTTGATGATCAACACTCATTTTCATTTTTACTTTATATATTTCCCGGGCATCAATGTTTTCTTGTTTCAATATATACTCGATTCTCATTATATTACGGGTTCCATTGTATCGCGTTATATGCCAAAAAATCGGATACATAGCTCATATCCTTTTTGTTGAAAAGATTATATGTCTGTCGTCTGAATGTAAATTTTTGTGATGATTTAAAATATAGAACATGCGTCGGAAAAGCTTTTATTCAAATAAAGCGTAATTTTGCAGATTTCCATTCCCGTTTTTTTATTATATTTAGACCATTGGACTTATAATCTAGTAAAATCCATAATAAAGTTCATGTTTTGAAATTCTTTAGTTTGCCTAATTGTTTATTTTTTTTATGTAGAATTACATCGTAAAATTAAAAATAAGAATGGAAGTCCATGTCAACAACAAGGTGGCATGTTTTTTTATGATCTCCAATTTAGGAGGTAAATAAGACTTCCTGTTTTAAAAATAGACTGAAAATTAAACGATGCAAGCTTGGGAAAGAATTTGACACTCGAAAGTTAGGCCATAGTTTGGTTTATGAATATCATTTGATGAAAGTTAAAGTAAAAAATTCGAATTACACTTTTTATGCAAAAGTTTTTAAGTACCGCGATATAATGAGATACCAGTATACATGTAATTTGGCACACAAGTAGATTACACAAAGATGCATAATTCTTTTTATTGCTGCCTGTTGCAAAGTTTCAAATCCAAGTGCTACTTTTCCTTGTATTCGTACAGACTAGTAGAGTTACAGTCACCAGAGACTTCTGGTTTAAAAAAAAAAATTTCGGTCTCTCAAACCAAATAGGTTTAGCAGAATTCGAGTTCTCAAGAGAGCTGCGAGTAACGAATAAAAGAATGTGTTAACCAAATCAAGTATTCAGTAAATTATATTCATCAAAATTTGTTATAAAAATTAGATTTGGGTGAAAAATTTGATATGAACAAAATACATTCAAAAGTAAAAGCATCTTTTGAACGTATTAAAAAGTCAATGGTACAACTCGAGGAAGACCGACGAAACCTGTGTAACAGCGCGAAATTTAATTACAACACAGATGTAATAAACTGGGATTATTTCACTTTGTGATATTAAGTTTTAATCGACGAGACACAGAGTGTAATAGGCCCTAATGTTTTATTGATATTCAGTGAAAGTGTTAGAAATGCAGGATTGTCCGTCTGTTTAGTAGAGCGAATTTCCCAAATTGTTATACAAGTATGTTCAAACCAATTTTTTGATGTTTTGCGTTGAATACAATACAAAAAAATACTATATTTTGTTTTATTACATTTTCCATTACATTTTGTGTTGACCTCAGCGCAACATTACACAACACAAATGTGACAACTAAAAAGTGAATTATTACATTTTCCGTTTTTCTTACACAAAATTTAATAATCCCAAAATCATGTCATTACATTTTGTGTTTTTACGTTCTACATTGATCTCGACGCAAAATGAAATATATATAAAACATTAAATAATGTAATTCTTATTAAAATATTTTAAACTATTTTTTTTAATATTATTATGTATATTAACTAAATTTATGCCATACAAGTTTTCACACATGAAGTGTATCAAAAGTGTTTCCACTTTTATTGTTGAGTGTATATTTCCTCGTTGGAAGATATGTATATCTTCCTCATTAGAAGATATCGTTAATTCTAAAAATGTTTAGAATGAATAGTGCTATAAATAGCTACCAAAGAATCAGCTTTAATTTATATAAGGAAGTGTTGTCTGACAATGGTCTACAATCCCAAAATTCATGTCATGTGAAGATGTATATAAAAATGTTTTTAAAAAGGAAATGCTTCTAATTTGAAAAATACACGGCATAAAAGAGTTAAAACCGATACCAACCTACCCATCTCAATCAAAAATTATCCAGCACATGACATGGTTTACACAACATAATCAAAAGACTATGTAATATAACTTAATTTCAATATATATTTTCTAGAGAATCTTTCCCTAATATCATGATAGCTTCATGTCAAGAATTTGTAAAACTTTGGCGTAGACGTTTTCAAAACCATGTTTTATTTTGTCTAATAAAAATTATCAACCAAAAATATATCAAATTTTTCTTTGCCAAATGACAGTTGAAAGCTTCAGATATCATATCATACCTAAAATATCAAATTACACAAGCCTGTTTAAGAAGATTCTTATTAATTTTGGGGTCAAGGTAATAAACACTGTCCGTTTTAACGCTTTATTTCCATGCAGTTTCTCGAAAAACCTTCTCGAGTTTTTGGTTTGAAATGTTATACACCACAACTCTATGCGCATTTTGAGGCCAATATCTCAAGTTAAAAACAAAATCATACATAGTCTGTATGTATAACTATCAAATCCGAGCGATATCTCATGAAACATTTGAGCATTAGCACTGGAATACTTTATAACGTATCCCTTTGACCCGCCCCTCTCCTCTAATAGTCCCACACTAATCTGTAGATCCGCGAATGCTTTCTCATTTCCTTAAGCGGGGTACAACCATTCTTGACAAAATCAATTCTTATATTTTCTATTCTATTTCCAAGTTGATACATTAAGCATTTTGGTACATGTATACATAAATGATATTGCCTTTTTATTTGAAAACCGTTGTATATGTCTACGTGTACGTGTATGATCAAGATGTCACACACGAAATCAATAAAGCACATTTTTACAAGTGAAGTAGATGATCCGATCAAAACAACTTATAGGTCCTCGAACACACAAATTACAAATAAAATTTGCAAGCAATGGGAAATATAAGTAATTAAAAAGCTAAAAGATTTGATTTTTAAAATGGAAATTAGTTTTTAGTTTGTCTTTTTTTTTCAGTTTTGTCGATGCATAAAATGAAATTACGGCTGTGCAGGTTTTCCCGCATACGAAACCGAAGCTTATACGTTCCTCTGGTGATTATGTGTGTCTTTCTGACAGCAATCTATACAGACTTGACTGTACGCGTCAGTGAGAGATGGAACGATCTGGTTTGTCTAGAGAGATATAAAGGATTAGGAGACATGGGACCAGGTAAGCCTGAAAGAATCCATTGTATGCAATAGATTTTTGTACATTTGAGTAATCTCGAGTTGTTTTTTTTTCAATGTATGAGTTCAATCTATTGTTTGCATGTTTCTATCTCATCACTCTTCTTGCACTTGTTTTTCGTGGCATCTAATGATTCACACTATACTTCTGTTTATAAATTACGATATCACCCGAAGGACCAATCCGCACGTCCCGCATTGGGATTCAAACCCGCGACATATAAGTGGCGTTTTTTCCTTTCTGCTAATGTGTAGGCTTGTCACATATTTAACTTGAAGTGTGGGTAGACAAGAAGCTTCCTCACGATCGGTATTAGGGAGAGGTCAAAGGGACCATTTTTGCAAACTCAGACATCTGCAATTTTAATTTGACCAGTGTAAATAATGTTGTAGGTATATTACAGTTTATATCCTGATGTGAAGACCACTTAACAAAACTGAGAACTTATCCTCACTCGATATCTGCTAAGAAAATATGGAAACTTCCTTGCTGAATAATCAAAATTCGATCAAAACGTTCAATTTCCTACTAACAAATATAATTCAAGTTATCAATTTCGTTTCCTGCACATATTATGGACTCCTGTTGCTTTTGATTAAATTTTTCTGATACAGACTTAATATTAATAACACTTGAACTTTGGCTTAATAAAATGTCAAGCTAAGGGAATAGTTTTGTCCTAAAATATAAAGCAAAACTGTAAAGATAATCGGATATATAGGTATAAAAGTGCGGATTGCTAAGAATGCTTTTTTTTTTTACATCTCCAACAAATAAATTAATAGGTACGATTTATTATCAAATCCCCGCCCCTTTATTCAACCAAATTTTTATTCCTGAGAAAATGATGTGTAGGCTACAGCCTTTTTGCCTATATGGAATATACACCACTGATAAGGATCAATCCCTTAACTAGGGGGTGGGACGATACACAGATCTTGCGATACGATACGTATCTCGATATATTAGCACGATACGATACGATACGTATCTCGATATTATGATAAATTATAAAACTTTTTAAAAAGTATTTTATTTCATTTTCTGTCTTAACATTAAATCAACTGTTACATGATAAATTATAAAACTATGCAAAAGAATTAGTATTTTATTTCATTTTTTTTTGTCTTGACATTAAATCAACAAATTATTCTTAGACTATATAAAATCATGTGTGCTTTGAAATTAATACCTGAAGTTCATCAATTTCATTGACTAAAACTTTACGGAAACAATAATACATGTACATGTACATATTATTGTTACCAAATTTCTGTAAAGAAGTTGTTTACAAACAGTTGTGTAGTTCATCAAAGAACACTGACTAAAATTTCATATAAAAAAAACAGCACATTTACATTAAAAGCAATTGCTGAAAGTCTGTAGCCTAGTTGAGATTACAAAAAAGCACGAGATGGACCAACAATTAATGATATCAAATGTTCTGGAAACGATACTTTCTGTGTAGTATAGCACGCTTTACATACTGAACTCTTCTTGTCCAATCTTCCGAGGCTGCTTAAAAGTGAAAACGTTTTACCCCTAATCAACGACTTATTAGTTCTACATTATGTTTTCAATATCATCATCGTCTCTTCGCTTCGTACAAGCCGCCATTTTCCAAGGACAGGTACTTTCATTTTCAATTTTTGGATAGGTCGTTCGTGTATCGTTTCGTACCGATATTTGATATTAAATAAACTAATTAAGGACATAGTTATGATGAGTAAGAACGCTTCTACCGAAATTGTGAATTTTATGGCCCCAGGGTCAGGGATTATGGTGTTAGGGTGTGGCTCTACCATGATTATATGGTGATAATAAATTACATATATGAAAATCTTTTTCTCTACTCCTGGGTAATAAGCAGATGAACTATTTATATAGTTATGATGTGCAAGGGCTCTTCTTTCAAAATTGTGAATTTCAAGGCCCCTGGATCAGGAATACCAAAGACGGGGGGGGGGGGGGCTCTACTTCTATATACTGAAAATGAATTGTTTAAAATCTGCTCCTTGGTATTAATTGAACATTTTTGATAAGCAAGTGTGCCTTTTCAAAAATTGTGCAATGTGTAGACCTAGGGTCAGGGGTTCATGTGTGGTAAGGGAACTCCTGATTATTACTGAATATTACTGATTAGTTGACATGTATTTTTGTTCCCCTACCCTGCTTATGGGTATAAAGTAAACAAACTAAGCAATTGCTAAGTGTATAGTTATGATAATCAATGGTGTCTCTTTCAAAATTGTGAATGCCATAGCATCTGGCTTAAAACATGAACCAAATTCAATCATTTGAAAGTTGTTGCATGATGCTCAGGTGACCTATAAGGCCCATGGGCCTCTTATTTTAATTAATTATTTTTATTTTATCAGTCTCAAAAATCTGCCATTACAATGGTCCATAATCATTTCATTATGAGTATTCGTACCGTGTTAAAATTTTTATTATTACTTTAACCAAAATATTTTCATTCTTCATAGTTGGCAATATTACAGCAGATATGATTCCAAGGGAGTTGCAGGATATGGCATCTGACTTTTGGTGGCTGCAATTTGGCGGACACCACTCGGTTGAAAGGCCACAAAAGGAACTGGACGTACATGAAAGAGTAGCAATAATAACCCCAGTGCGAGATAGAGAGGAGCACCTTAAAATTCTTTTAAACAACCTTCACCCTATTCTTCATCGTCAAAATCTGCAATACAGCGTGTACGTAGTGGAACAGGTACCTCTAAGTACTGGTAAGGCATGGTAGAGTGGAACACTATGATAAGTTTTAAGTATTACATACCGACAGTACACGTCCCTTCTCTAGAAATATAGCCATTAAATCCAAGCAGGAAGTAAAATTCCTAGAAATTAAGGTATATGCATTATGGGTTTGTTGAAATACTTTTGCTCCCAAGAAAAAAACCTGTTTTATTCAAAGCATTGTAGCAACTGCTTAATAATAAAAATATTTTGCCATAAATCATTGGACTGATAGTTGATATTCTTAACCGCTTAATTATACCTTTTTAGTACCTGAGTGAAGGCTTTAACTTGAAGCTTTTCTGATCACATTTTGTCCGGGGGGGGGGGGGTGTCTGTCCGTCAGTAAACTTTTCACATTTTCGACTTTTCCTCAAGAACCACTGGGCCAATTTTGACCAAACTTGGTACAAAGCATCCTTGGGTGAAGGGGAATTTAATTGTCAAAATGAAGGGCTAAGTCCCCTCACAAGGGGAGATAATCAAGAAAAGAAAAAAATAGGGTGGGGTCATTAAAAAATTTTCTTCTCAAGAACCACTGGGCCAGAAAAGCTGAAACTTATGTGGAAGCATCCTGGGGTAGTCTAGATTCTAAATTGTTTAAATCATGACCCCCGTGGGAAGGGTGAGGCCACAATGGGAAATCAAAGTTTTACATAGAAATATATTGGAAAAATCTTTGAAAATCTTCTCAAGAACCACTGGGCCAGCTGCAGAAAAGCTGAAACTTATGTGGAAGCATCCTGGGGTAGTGCAGATTCTAAGTTGTTCAAATCATGACCCCCGGGGGAAGGACGGGACCAAAATGGGGGATCAAAGTCTTACATAGAAATATATAGGAAAAATTTTTGAAAATCTTCTTCTCAAGAACCTCTGGGCCAGAAAAGCTGAAACTTATGTGGAAGTATCCTGGGGTAGTCTACATTCTAAATTGTTCAAATCATGACCCCGGGGGAAGGGCGGGGCCACAATTTGGAATCAATTTTTTAATTCTTACTTAGAAATATATAGGAAAATCTTTTGAAAATCTTTTTCTCAAGAACCAGCTGAAACTTATGTGCACATGGAAGGATCCTGGGGTAGTGTACTTTTTCAAAATGTCTAAATTATGATCAGTGGGGTTGTGGCAATGCATTATGTATTACAAGGGGGAAATCTGGTAAAGAACAGAATGGTCAAAGCTTCTCAGGTGAGCGATGTGGCCCATGGGCCTCTTGTTACATAAAGTGGCGATCTATTAAGAGCGGTTGGTAACTTTTAAACAATTAATGCAATAATTTATGAAACGCATTATGACATTTCTATCATATCATAAGCGGCTGCTACAAAGTGTCATTATATCTGATATTGTTGAGAATACATTTAAATTGGTTGAATTTGTCAAAAGCATACTCATAGCCTTTTTTTTTCGTATACAGGACACTGAGACTCCTATATACATGTATCATTATTTTTTCCACTTGTTTCGTACACGGGGCAGCCCCTACATATAATATTTATTTTTACAATTAAGTACCTTGGTTTAAACTTATACAAGGCATACATTGTTCGATATGAGATTTTTTCTTATGATTTGTACAAGCTGACGCCCTTGGCCTTGGTCCTGTCCTTTTATTGTCCTTTTATTGTAAAGCACTCAATTATTCTATTAAAAAAATATCTAGACACCTTTAGACATAACATTGGATACATCAATTTCCAATAAAAAAAAAAAACGAAAGGAATCCAATGAATTCTGAAGTATGAAAATTTATTAAATAATATCATAATTTGAAATTCAATATTTATTTTTACGCCGCACTTAACAAGCGATACCTGGCAATTAGTTTGTTTATACTTAAAAGAAAATATTTTCACGCGCTGGGAAAACAAATTAGATTCATACTAATATGTTTCTTGCCTTGTGATATTTGTAGGCTGATAATCAAGACTTTAATAAAGGGACACTACTTAACATTGGGTACATGGAAGCCCTGAAGAGAGATAACTACACCTGTTTTGTATTTCATGACGTCGACCTAATACCAGAGGACGACAGGATATCTTATGGGTGTTGTAGAAGTCCTATGCATTTGTCTTATGCCATAGATAAATTTAATTACAGGTAAGCAAACTTTAGCAGGTTGGTGATTTATATTTCATATAAAGCTCTAATTTTAAGCTGTTAATGAATTTTTATCAAAAACTTTTACATATATATTTACATTTTTTCGCTGTAGTCTTCCTGACACCAAACTTATCGGTGGAGTATCTGCGTGGCTGAAAAATGACTTTGAAGCCGTCAATGGCTGGTCCAATTTGTTTTATAACTGGGGAGGTGAAGATGACGACATGAGTTATAGGTAGGTTTTAGTATTTTCCGATTGTAAAATCTTTTGGGTTAAAGGTACATGTATGAATCTTCTACCTTAATACCTGTCTTCTTGTCCTCTCTGTTTTCGTATGAGAGTCATACCTTCATTAGAAAAAGCACAGTTTTTTTTTTATTATTGAATGGAACGAAAATGTATAATATATTGATATTTGTCCAAAGGCGAAAAATTTGATTTCGATTCTTCTATGAGAAATTATTCATTATTTACCTTATTGTCTGCCTTACCTCAGGCTCTTTCATAGTTGTAAAGATATTCAAAAGCACGACCAAATTTGGACTCTGTGTAGAGGACTAGATCTCACGGAACACGAATTTTTTGATAGCGTCTAAGCCGAGGCAAGCAATTGACAAATAAGTTATTCATGAAAGGATAACAAAAGACTTGCTAGTCAACATTTCACAAATTCTCTGCTCGAAACAGTGACCTTGTTTGTAAATGCAATAATTATGACATTAAGTGGCATGTTGACTGTTGTCTTAAGCTAATCTTAGTGAGCTTTAATTTCTGATCACCCGTTGTCCGTCCGTCTGTCAGTTCGTCTATAACCTTTTCACATTTTCAACTTCTCAAGAATCACTGGCCAATATGTCCTATTTCCACTATGGAAGAGTTATAGTTCTTTTTGTGCTCTTTTGTTAAAAAAAAGTTGCAAAATGTACAAATCTCGCGGGATTTCTGGGACAAACTTAAATAAACATGTAAACAATATGTTGAGTGTCGATGAGAAAATCCTAACAAAAATCGAATGAAACATTTTATTGTTGTTTACTTTATTTGCATCAAGAGTAGAACCGACAAGGATGTCAATTTTTTGTCTATTGTTTATCTTATGTTTTTGTTTATCATCTAAATACAATGCACATGCCTCGGAAATATGATAGACATATGTAAGAGAGCGAGAACCCTCAATTTATCATCCATTAATAAAAATACGATCATTAGTTTATTTATTTTTTAATCGGAATGAAAACTCTTGGGTAGTGTATACTCTAAATTATTCAAATCATGGCCCCCGGGAGTAGGGCGGACCCATAATAGGGATCCAAGTTTTTCACTGAAATATATAGGAACATTCTTAAGAAACATTCTTCTCAAGAACCACTTGTCCGTTTAAACTGAAATAAAGTGGAAGCATAGCTTAGGGTAGTGTAGATACTAAATTGTTCAACTCATGATTCCTTAGTTTTTGCCACAATAGGGAATCAAGGTTTTATATTGAAATTTTACAGGAAAAATCTTTAGAAATCTTTTTCTCAATTGCAAGAACCACTTACTCAAAAAGCTAAAGCGTATGTGGAAGCATCCTAGGGAAGTGACATTCTAATCATGACCCTAGCTGGTTAAAGGCATGGTCACGAGGTATTACAAAGAGGGAAATCTGTTTAATTACTGAATGGCCAATGGTACTCAAGTGAGCGATGTGGCCCATAGGCTTCTTGTTATACAAATTATAAGTTCATAAAGTTAATAAAATTAATCTAAAGATCGATAATAGGTCAAACACTGTCACATTTATAAATTTCATATATTAATAGAAAAGGAATAATGTTTTCAAAGTTGTAAAGAAAATTGAGTTACACCCCTTTTCTATAGATGTTTGTATTAGATAATATACCGGATATGACTTTTTTTCAAAAAATCTCTTGAATAACATAAATTCAGGTTTAAAATGTTCGTGTATTTAAACTTTAAAGTACAAACGTGTAAGAAAAAGAGGAATAAGTAACTGGGGGTGGGGGAGGGGGGAGGGGTATTCTATAAGTTCATTAGACATCATGTACATGTATCGTTTGTGTGTTTCACTTCTTGATTAAGAAGCTGCAATAATTAATACAAGTCGTGTACAATATTTATTTTATTATTTGAAGAAAAACAATCTACTCTTGATAAAGAATCTTTTCATTCTTAACTCGGTACGATATATTCTGGTGAGCTTGAGGTAAAATATACCAGAGAGTCTGGCACATCTGTTTCAAATTTGGATATTTTACTTGAAAAGGGCGTTAATGGTAATCTAACAATCAAGCTCTATGATAAACGTGATGACTTTAACTTTTCAATCGTCAACTTCCCTTACTTATGCTGCAATATACCTTCATCACCTGTTTACGAAGTTTATATATCTCAGTAGAGCAAGCTCTACGTATGAACAATTTCTTAAGCGAGGTACATTATTGACAAACAAGTTGATGAAACAAGAATATCAGCAGTCACGTTTAAAGTAATCTTTTCATAAATTCTATGGACGATACAATGACCTTGTCAGCAAAAACAACTTATCATAGAGTCATATGCTGACACGTTTTTCATACTAATTATGGGTCCAATATTTATTCATGTACACTGAACTGACGATCGATTTTCCGTTATTTTTCGATCATGACAAGAAGCGCACGCCGGGTGTGACCTATCGGCAGGGAATACTCACTCCTCCGTGTAACTGTTTGCTCTGCTATTTTGTATTATTTTATGGACTTTTGATCTTGAATACTGTTCGTGATCTCCATATGTTTATTATCTCCATATGTTTCCTACATAATGTACAGATGCTTGACTGTATGTTTCTTTAATGTCAGTGGTTATTATAAAATTATTCTTTTGATGTTGCAGAATTTATGCCAGTGGTAGAACAATAAATCGGATGTCTCCTTCTATCAGCAGATATAAAATGATCAAACACAAACAATCGAAGATCAATAGTGATAGGTAATTTGATTATTAAATATTATCACAAACATCGAAAAAAAAGTATAATACAAAATCGATCATAGAAAAAAAAGTTTCAAATGATACATTAACAGTATTTAATAACTTGGTAAACATGATTCATTTCTGATATGTGTGCAGCAGGTCGATGCCGTAAATACTCGCCTGTAAGTCGTTTCTTTGTTTTCTTGCTCTATTTATCAGAGACCAGATGAGCATATGCGATAGTAAGGCGTCTGTCGTGCGTCCGTCTGTCTGTCTGTTAACAATTTTTCAAAATGCTACTCTTCCTACAGTTTTAGTCTGATTTCAATATACATGTAACTTGGCATAAAAGTAGAGTAAACTAAGATACTTACTTCTTTATATCGGTTTTTGATTACGATGAATGGTGTTGCCGTGGTTACTAAAATTAGAAATTTCTGTGAAATACATTCAAAATGCTTCTCCTCTTACTGTTTCAGTCTGATTTCAATATAACTTGGCATACAGGTAGACTACACTAAGATACATATTTCTATATATTGATTTTTGATTTCGATAAACGGTGTTGCTATGGTCTCTAAAATATAGAATTGATTGTATATTGTCTAACGTCCCTCTCGAGAATTTTTCACTCATATGGAGACGCCACCACTTGCCGGTGGAGAGCTGCAAATTTTGTCCTTTACTCGCCACTGAGGGCCATTGAGCAAAGAGGGGTCTTTTTCGTGCCAGCACCTACTTGGACATGGGACCTGGGTTTATACGGTATCATCCGAAGGATCGGTCTCCGCGTCCCACAGTGGGATTCGAACCCGCGACGTAAGGATCGACTCCTTACTTCGTGACTCTAGAGCAGACGCTCTAACCACTGCGCCACGCGAGCGACATAATATAGAAGTTTCTTTGAAATACTTTTAAATGTTACTCCTCCAAAAGTTTTAGTCTGATTTCAATAAAACTTGACACATTAGTATCCTACACTAAGTACCTGCAGGACTGTTGCTCTTCGAAAAAGCATATTGACAGACCGGAGAGCTACAGTGCCACCCATTGTAAAATCTGTGTATTTATTGCGCACAAAAAGTTGCGCTTAGTTTTGGAATTCCTTACTTCTCTATCAAGTACTCATGTAGTCAACATCTGCACGTGTTGGACCGAATAATCTTGCGATCCAAAATGGCAATATAATAAGACGAAATTTTCGATGATCTTATAAATTTCAGGGCCAGGAGGGCTATTAACAGCAATTAAATGTGGTGCTTCTTTGTTGAATAAGTGAAATAATATGTTAGGAACACGGTTAGTAAAATTTTGAGATGACAGTTTAAAAACATGGAGAAATAAATCGAGAAACAGCGCACTTTTTGTGTGCAATAAATACATGTATACAGTTTTTTCAATGGATGACACTGTAGCTCTCCGGTCTGTCTATAGATATCTTTTTCGGAGAGCTACAGTTCTGCAGCTAACACTAAGATGCATAATTCTGTATATCGGTTTCTGATTTCGTTGAACGGTGTATTTCTGTGACAAACAATTAAAATCCTTCTCCTTTGACAGTTTTAGTTTGATTTCAATATTACTTTGCACACAGGTAGATTCTACTGAGATACAGAACTCTGTGTATTGCTTTTTTATTTCAATGAACGGTGTTGCCATGGTAACATGTACTAAAAATAATATTTTTGTAAAATACATTTAAAATGCTACTTCTCCTACAGTTTTTGTCAGTTTTCAATATAACTTGGCACATAACAAGTACACTATACTAAGTTACATAATTTTGTAAATTTGTATTCAGCTCACCTAAGCTGAAAGCTTAAGACTAATGAGCTTTTCTGATCATCAATTATCCGTCGGTCGTCCGTCCGTCTGTAAACTTTTTCACATCTTCAACTTTGTCTAAAGAACCACTGTGTCAACTCTACCCAAACCTGGTACACAGCAACCATGGTTGAAAAGGGGGGGGGGGGGGATTAAATTGCTATAAAATGAAGGGCCATGTCCCCTTACAATGGGGAGATAATCTAGAAAAGACAAAAATAGGATGGTGTCATTAAAAATATTCTTCTCAATAATCACTGGGTCAGAAAAGCTGACACTTGTATTTGGAAGCATTCTGGGGGTTGTGTACATTATAAATTGTTCAATTCATGACCCCCGAGCGTAGGGCGGGCCATAATAGACAAATCTATTGTTACAATGAAATATATAGGAAAATTAATTAAAAAAAAACTTCCTATCTAGAACCACTATAAGCCACAAAAGCTTAAACTTATGTGGAAGCATCCTGGGGTTGTGAAGATTCTAAATTCTTCAAATCATAAATCCAACGGGTGAGACGGGTCAGATACATAATTGTCTTTATTGGGTTTTGATTTTGATGAATGATCTGTAAAATTCGTTTAAAAGGCTCCTTTTACAGTTATAGTCTTATTGCACTCTTGTCACAAATAAAGATTAGCATTACTCTATTTGTTATTTTTTCAAGTCCAACTGATACTTTTCTTTATAGGTACAAACCAGTAGAGCAACAGAGACGTGTGGGGGTGTTTTGTTTCGATCTTTTTTCTTGAGGAGGGGGGGGGGGCTTTTTTAAAAATTGTTTTTCTCTGGTCGAAAACTTTTTGTCCGACATATGCGAATTATGAAAAGGTTGGTAAATCATAGATTTAATACCTCCAATATACGCTGAAACAATAAAAACGGCTTATAGGCGAGTTTATACAGTATATTGTTTGAAGTAATGATATGTTTTTTCCCTTTTTATAGATACAAGATGCTTTCGAATTCTTATACACGATATAAAAAGGATGGACTTTCTAGTTTACGATACCAACAGATACAAGTAGTAGAGCAACCACTTTTTACAAGAATACGGGTAGTTCTGTAAACTCTAACTAAAGGCAAATTATCAAGGAAAGCCTTTCCGGAAAAGCTGTATCACGCAATACAATGTGTTCAAGGGTTTAAATGTGAAACTGAAACAGAGAGTAGTGTTTTTTCTATGTGTAGATGATTTTTTGAGAATCGCAGCAGAATCTTCAACCGAGATTTTCATCAGGAGTTTTATTGTTTCATTTACTTTTTAAAGTAAATTTTATTTCCAGCTTTGCACATAGTGGTACGATATTTTTTTTCAAATAATGAATGCGAGTGTTTGAGATGTTTATGATTAGAACATGAAAGTTTGCACATGAACGATACATGTGAGTTGTCCATTATGTCTTTTTGTATAAATGTTTGTTTAACTAAATTACAAACTTTGATGCATGCATGTAATTATATGTTAAAGAAAACAACGAAGTATATTTGAATTGCTCTGCCCACTGAACTTTTGATTTAATTTGTGTTAAATGTCGGTACAGTTTGAACATTTATTCCATATATAACTATTGAATACTGGTTTTTATAAATGTCTAGAAGAAATTAATATCCTTACCTTTGTTTTTTTATGGGGGTGATGGATTGATATTATACATTTATTGCAGAATTGTGAGGGAAATGTGAATAAATCTTCATGTTTCCTGAATATTCATGCAATAAATTGTTCATTATACCGAAACAAGCAAAACTTTTTTTAAAAAACCGCCTTTAAATTCACTTTCAATTCTAATGTACAGTTACTGAAATTCTTGGACACATTACACTCCTATAAAACAATCATTAATTTTTTTATGTGAACCAGGCTATTGTCACGTTAACTACTCTCTTGAGTTTTCGTTCAACGAACACTAGCTATTGCGGGAAAATGCACTAGGTATCCGGAGAGGTTGAATATGATGAAAAGCATGTCGACGACCTGGAAATATAAAGTTTCATGGTCCTGTCACGTGATAATCTAGAACCAATCAGATAACGCGTTGTATAGAATGATTAATATGTGGTACATATATAATAATAAAATTAATGTTATTTTCAAGAAAAATGCATATTAACTACTGTATCATGTATTATTAATAGAGCTTCTTAATTACACCACATGCAGTTTGAAACAATCATAAATTTTACTCATTACAGAACCATGTGATGTTGTAATCTACGTATCCAGGTCCCAGAGGGAAGATGGGCCAAGGACTTCACATGTTTGCTTCCCTTTATCATGTTTATCATATATGATTTAGATTAAATTTATGGAAATTGGTTAAGCGATTTTATAGGAAAAGTTGAAACCCCTTGTTCAGTGGTACAGTGAAACATATGGAGATAATGAACAGTATTCAATATCAAAAGTCCATAAAACAATACAAAGTACATGTAGGGGCAGAACAAATACGGACCTCTAAAACATCAGAGGTGGGTCAGGTACAACACATACTAAAAAAATCAATGTAGCCCTTCTTTGAGACCAGGCCGACTTTAAAATTATGTTTGTTTGCTCTATAGCGACCCGGAATGAAGAAATGTGGGTCGGTAGGTACATGTAGGTCGTATATTTTTTTTTCACTTAAAAGTAAAACATCAATGCTAAATTTTTAAAATATATTTTCCGAAATGCATAACAAATAATTTTGTCCTGGAGCATGTGGAGGTTAAAAGAAGAACTGAGTTGGGTCATTTTAGCCAGTCGGTACAATATGTCACTCTTATATAATTAGACATTAAATTTAATTCTGATACATTTTTGTGTAACCTTTAACAGAAAACACGTTCTCATTTTACGGTTCCATCATGTAAATGAATGCAAAGTTCAATTCCATTGCAGATACAAGTGTGAATATGTATTCCTCTTCATTGTATTGCTACATTTCAGTATTGAAATTCCTAACCTATTTACTACCTATTTAAAAGGCATTAATCACTAATGAATAATTAATAATAGGTGTAATTCTTACAAGTTTTATTCCAGTATTTTGAAAAGGATTTAGGATTTGACATGAAAAGAAAATGTCTTCGTGAAAAGAAGAATTAACTCGCCCATCTAGCATTGTACGGCACTATTATCGATTGATTTAAATCAGGGTGTGTAGGTGGCCTTTTTTAAAACGCTTACTCTTGATCCAAAAGTACTCGTTTCTATATAAAATCTTTTCACTCATAATATAAAATTGAATAACACAAGGTGTATATCGAAGTCCGATTAACACTTCTTTCTAAGAATAGCAGTCGCATAATTAAATGCATTTTTAAAGTATTATGGATTATATTTACATTTGTATATTACAGTCCTGTACTAACAACAGTATCCCTGTCTCAGGAACACTGATATCCAGTTTGAAAAAAAAGGTCCACAAGCTCATCATTTGCAGAGGAAGGTATTCAAAAGAAATAATGAAGTGTCACTACAAATAAAAGATAGAACCTGACAGTACACTGGAACCCCTGACTCAGGGTCTATGATTTTAACAATTTAAGAGGAAGTACCCTTGCATATGATAACTATGCACTAACTATGTTTGCGTTACACTCATAAAATATAAGAATATTCCCCAAAAATGACGATTTTTTTTTTCTTAAAGCCCCGCCCTAACAGGCAAATCCTGACCTGAAGGCCATGGATTCATAGAATTTTAGAAGATTTAAGCAGAATTATTGATTTCATCAATCATCCTGTTAGCTTTCTGTTGAATACCCAGGGACAGAGGGTTTTTAAAAAGATTTTTTGGAAATTTAATATATTATCACATACATGTATGCACATTCTTGTACCGTTTGACTGTCTGGGGAATAATCTGGTAGTATGCGACATGCAACTCGGCTATATAACTCGCCAGGAATTTCTTCAATTTTTAAGTATTGCGTATAATTACTTTTATTTCATCTGTTTATTAACAAGGAATAGGAAATTCAATTTTCTAGCGTGGTGTAGTATAGTTTAAGCGCTTGATTTAGGAGTAGATCCTAAAGGTTGCAGCTCCCAATCCCAGAGAATATAAACAAAGTAGCGTGTCGCAGTGGGTTCTGGCACGAAAATCTTATGAGTCTACCACAGGCAGACCTATATGAGTAAAAATATTTTTTATCCAACGTTTTTATGAAACGTTGTATAGCAGCATGTTTGGTGAATCAATATATGAAATGGAAATGAAATAAATGGAAACCCGCCCTCACACCTGAACCCCTGACTCGGGGGCTATAATTTTCATCCTTCCGTACTTAATTTGTCTGCTGAGTATTTACAGCAGGGGAGAGAATCAGTCTTTAAAAGAGTTTAACAGTTTTTACTATACTACATGTATCAATATAGACAGTCTTATCCTAACTCAAGAATCTGATCCAGGTTGGACCATGGTTTTTAAAATTTTAATTTGTTACAGAACTCAGTACCAACAGATTGATTAATTGAGGTATTATATTTTAAAGGGTTTTAAACTAATGGCATTTCCCCTCTAAGATTTATAACTTAACTCCTATATGTGACATGTTTTGCGCGTTATTGGACGTTCTTATACAGCTTTGACTCGTTCATGTATTTACTATTCATTTGATGTTACGTTCATTATATTTTAAAATAAAGGACAAGATAGACAAGATCCTTTTTGGCACTGATTTTGTGTGTCGATCAGAGTGATGCAACAGTTTATCCCTAAAAAACCTGTTGTCACCTCTGTCACAAAATGAGTATTGGTTCTAAGTTTTGGAATACACAGAGAGGTCGAAATGAAGGTCGATTTTCGAATTCTCTCATTTTTATGCAAATTTTCATCGATTTTACAGCACATTTTATTTCGAAAAACAAAGAGCACAAGCATGCCTATCAACCAAATTTATATATTTTATACACTAGTATCAAATGCAGTTTATGTGTAAAAATATCAGACAGGCAAGCTTGTGATCTGTTTTCCGAAGAGAAAAGTATCTCAAATATAATGAAATACCACAGGAATGAGGAAATTCGGGAAAATGTTCATCTTAAGCACCCTCTTGTGGATTCCATGTCAGTCTTGAATCCAATTAAGTGCTGGTTTTAAAGGGGCCTGGACAGTTTCAACTGATTTTTTTAAAACCCATTTTAATGTTTACAATTCCCACCTAAAGCATCATCTGTTGATTAGCAAAAATTTGAACATCCTTTGTTGATTAACAAACAAGATACAAAACTTAAAGTTCTTCATAATGTAAACAAGGCTCGTGCCTTGTTTTTGTTTACATATAGAAAATATCATATTTATAACAAAATGAAGCAAATCAATGGTAAGTGTCGAATCGTATTTAAAATTAACTTTTTGAAATTATCTACGTGGAACGAACATCTATTAGTATATTAACCTGTGTAAACAAAAACATGACACTAGCCTTCTTTACATAACAAAGGTTTGGAGCTCTAAATCCGTCTTGTATCTGAACAACTGGCGTTCAAATTTTTGATGATCATTAGAAAGACCCTAGTTATATATCTTTAAAAATGGAAAAATAAATTTTGAAATTTTAGCTAAAACTGTGTTCATGTCCCTTTAAAGCAAGCATCATTTAAAGGTTCATAAATCCTCTGCTCAATCATATAAAATGTTGCTTGAACCTTAATGATTTCCAAAAGAAACGAATTTTATAAGTAAAATACAAACAATTATAGCATAGCTTGTGGGGCAAAATTGGACAAAAAAGACACTTCAACTTGGCAAATCTATAAAGAATACATTGTAATAAATAAATATGTCATTAAGAGTTATCTTTCTTATCAGAGTATCAATGAACCTTAAGTTCTTAACTACAAACTATCACAATTTTTGTCATGTAGAGTTATCTTTCTTATCAGAATATCAATGAACCTTACGTTCTTAACTACAAACTATCACAATTTTACCAGTGTTCTGATTTTTACATCAAATAAGGGGGCAGATTCGGCCGTTACTCTACCTTGTCCTTTATATCATTTCAAACACAGTTGTACATGTACAATTAATTAAAACTTTGAATTGCATTCATATCAATATTGAAATATATAATCTTTACACAAAGAATTTATCTCCTATTTGTAAGGCATTGAACACCAATATACAATTTAAAATGTAGGTTAGTACAGGATTTCTTCGAGTGTTATGAAAAAGACCTAGTATTTGATATGAAAGGAAAATAAATTTTTCTAAGGTCATAAGATGAAATAACTCGTATAGACCATTACACGACAGATTTGCCGATGGATTTAATCATGAGTATATATGGTCTACTTTTACCTCTAAGTAGTTAAGCTTGTTATTAAAATCCAAATAAATCATGATTGTGTGCCAAAAACGAATAGGGTACAATGCCCAGCAGAAAACTTGCAATGGGTGTTGTGTCAATTTCTCGCATGCTCGGGACACCATGTTACAAGTACGTCCAGTCGGACGGAATAGAAATTCCAATGTATATAAACAGTAAAAAATATATACTTATCTATGTGCTTATCATCATAAATTGCTTTGATTATGTACTTTATATTTTTACAGTGCACATCAGTTTCATGCACATGAATTATTCTCTCTTTATTCATTGTCCGTACCTTATTATTGAAATCACAGGCACGTGACGTCACTTTTTTTTCCTTTTAATAAAAATACATCCCCTACCTAATAATAAACGTGTAGGGGGTATATTTTTTATTAAAAGAAAAAAAGTAACGTCAAGTGCCTGTGCTTCGAATAGACGAAATCAGTTACACGTACATGTATACATTAAAATTTACGACCGTTAATGTGCGTGCAGTATTTGTTATTTACATAAAGAAAACTAAATGAACTAGAAATCATTATATCAAAACAATTTTATTACAATAAGTTATAATAATGATTCCTGAGTACCCATTCGAATAAAATTTCAATAAGCAAAGCATAATTTTAAAGTTTTTTTTCTATCGTTTTCCTGGCTTTTACACGGTGAAACCAATAGCTAGGGCAGTGCTGACCAGGAGAAGCAGTGCAGAGGCCACAATGTTGGCTGAAAATAAAAGAAAACAATTTGAATTTTTTTTATTATGCTTAAAAAAATTAAAAAATGCATAAACATGTTTATGAATTTTACGACGATTACATCTGTACAATATATGTAGCACCGATATGACCCCTGTATAGTGTATCGACTGCAAGCATTTCTTATCAGTAATTTCAAGCAAACATAGAGATAGCATCGTTTTTGAAGGGAGGAGAGACACCAAGAGAAAATAAATCAGCTTATATTGTATAAAGTGATATCTGGAAATGGTTGGAGAAGAAGCACCCCCCTCCCCCAATGCTTCGTGCTTGATGGTGACACATACCTGCGCTGCCCTTAGCCAGACATTCCTCGACATTTGTACATCCGGCATAGGTGGCGTCTTCGTCACTTCCGTCATCGCAGTCGGACGAACAGTCACATTGGAATACTCTTTGGATGCATGTCATTGAACCTGATTGACAGGTGAAGTATCCAGATGGACAAAGCTTAATGAAAAAAATCAACATAATTTAATTTTGTTTGTATTTTAGTCTCTCATTGGTTGATTTCCAAAAAGGAACGCAAATTATTTCTTAATAACCTGGTTTGGTATGGGGACAACCCCCCCCCCCACCCCTTGACAAGCAGCTGAATTAAGTTGACAAATCCAAGACTACCTTGTGTAATGAAATTACAATGTATACAACTTACATAATTGAATGGTATGTAACCATTTTGTGTAATGAAATTACAATGTAATATCAAGTCAGAGATGTACGTGTTGTAGATTGTGTGTACATTTTTATGATATATATAGTGAAATGATGTGCATTCCTTTTCATAATTATTTGTTACTATTCATATTCTTGGTGTTTGATTACATTTTTTCTATTAAATATGATCTTTTTAAATCAAAAGTACAATTTTTGATAAACATTTTTAACTAAAAGTAACCCCAAACAGTCATTTAATAATTAAACCCTGTGTAAGTGCAAAAAAAATCAAGAATATAAGCATCGGTAAATAGCCTATCTCTCATTAGTTAGAGTCGAAAGGTATATATTTTAATCACTTTTTGTAATTATTTGGGTATATTTTTCATCATATTAAAGATTGAAAACATTGTGACAAAGACTTCTAAAAAAATATTAACAAATGTAAGGTGGAAAATTGACTTAAAAAATAGAAATCAAATCATTTGCCTTTCTTTTAAATGTGGACTTATCTTTTATGTCAATTGAATAAAAAAGAAATTATTCTTGAGAAATATTGCTTATTATTGTTCAGTTAATAAAGTCTATAAATAACGGTGTTTGAAGAGAAATTTTTGTGATTTTTCATATTCTCTTCTTGACAAGTACCCCTAAAAATAACTGAAAATGTGTAGTCGCAGTATGTAATTACCATACCAAGTTTCACAGGCTGTACTAGATTTTGAAACAAGGAAACATACATATCATGAGCTTTTAACTGATTGATAAGCAAGTACTAATTTATTATTTTTGAAAAGTTTGAAAATCTAGTGACAAGACTTTTTCGACATAGGTTCTATCTTAAAAATAAATTTCTTACAAAGATAATTTTTGTTGTTGAAATGATAAAAATGCACCAAAGCGTCGTGTGAATTTGATAATAGATTCAGGCTTTAAGCTTAATATTAAAAAAGGATTACGAAACTAAATGTACCTGTTGATAAGTGCCAGGGGCCACAGTGGGACAGTCTTGTGTGTTACAGTCATCAAAGTCACCGGATGATCCTGAACACTCCAAACCTCCATTTGCTGGTTTTGGATTGTCGCAAATTCTTGATCGCGATCGTTTACCACCTGCACAGGTTTTGGAACAGGATCCCCATTGTTGCCAACTCCCCCAAGCCCCATCAACTGCGAATATAAAAGGATCAATTTCAATTTGCTCATCGTATACATATGCCCTACTAAATACAAAATGTAAAACCACGTAATTAATGATAATTATGCATTTTTCTCATCATAACATACTTATACAGACTTGCGTGTTGCAAGTTTGGGTGCTTGATTGAGCTCCTGGGCAGCTAGCTCCACCGTACTGAGGAGACGGATTTGTGCATGTGCGCGTGCGATCCTGTGTACCTCCACCACAAGTAACCGTACAAGTACCCCAGCTTCCCCATGACGCCCAACTACCGTCAACTGATAAAAGTAAATAATTTAAACATAAAACATAATCAGAATTTCTAAAACATATCAAGAGAGTAAAATTTATGTAACAGAAAGCAACATAAATGTCATTACTTGGACAATTCTGTGTGTTACAGGACTGGGATGAACCGGTACTCCCTGGACATGCAGCGCCTCCATATTGTGGTGCTGGATTTGTGCAAGATCGAGACCGTGTTTGACTTCCTCCTCCACAAGTAACCGTGCATGTACCCCAAGATCCCCAACTTGCCCATGATCCATCAACTAAAATAAATACAATCGAGTGTTGTATGTATAGTACGATCGACTGTTATACTAGTATGTATAGAGTAAAATAATAGGTTAATTATCAAATGGAGCTTCGCACATGTTTTAATTAAATTGAAACCTACTTGGACAGTTATGAGTGTTGCAGGTCTGTGAAGATG